ACTGAGTTGAGAACTGATGACACCAGGAAAGTCATTGAAGAAAATTATGAAAAATGTAGGTCCAAGTTTTGATACCCACATAAATGCAATAATATCTAGAAGAAAGCCATTCAAGACAACTTTCATTTTGCAATTTGATAAGGTTGCATCAGATCAAAAATTTGTCCAGAAATACCATAACTTTTCAACTTGTGAAGAAGCTCAGCATGTTAAATCCTATCAAATTCCTTTGAGATATCCAAAGTAACAACCTGAGTTTCACTTTTCTTATATAAAGCTTGATAGACTCTTTCAACAATAACAGTTAACCTAGTGAAAGTGAAAGCCATATTGTTTGTCTGAAAGAAAATCCTGCATGTTGAGATGCTTAACCAATTCAGAGTTGATTAGAGATTCTGGTACTTTGCCAAAAAGAGGTAGAAGGTTAATAGGCCAATAGAAGAATCAGACAGTTCACCTGAATTCTTAAAGACTGGAACTATAGAAGAGGATTTCCAACAAGCAGGAAAGCAAGAAGCAGCAAGGCATTTATTGTAGAGTTTAGAGAGAACAGGAACCAGTTCAGGAGCACACTTCTTAAGAACTATAGCAGGGATAACATCATGTGCACATGCTTTATGGGGATGCAGTTTAGAGATGATAGCAAAAACCATGGATGGTGTTATATGCATATCACTCAATAGAGACTCATTTCTAAGTGAAAGGTCAGACAAAAATACTCCAGATAAGCCAAGAGTAGAACTGGAAAAGAATTTACAAGCAAAACATCCTGCTTTATCAGCAAATGATGTTAGCACCAGAAATTGAGTGAAGAGAGGAAGGATAGAAAACTTACTCTTATTTAACATACACTATTACAGAGCTGCCAGTAGCCATAAGAACCAAACCAAATTATACAGTGCCACATTCTGTCACCAGATTGGAACAAAAATTTTGTTTGATTTTTGAGGTGAACAAAATTTATTAAAATATTGCCTCTTTATGTTGTTTAGAAATGCTACTATGAATGATTTATATCTTTTTCTTTCAGATTATAAGAATATTATTCATAATATAGTTTGGAACTTGCCCCTATGTTCATTCCAACTAAAAAATGAATCAGAAATGTTTTACACTAAGAGTTTCATAAAGGTGTCAATGCAAGTGCAACAGCAAAATACATCTGTGCTTATGCGGTCAATACGTTGAGCGAAAGAAATTGCAGTAGGTGTTTTTCCTGTTTCAAAACTTAGAATTTTAGTTTAGAAGACAAGTGAAGGGACTCAATTCAGAGTGTAGGATAGTGGTTGTAACTTTGGATGTGTGGGTGGTGTAATGAATAACATCGTTCATTACAAAGGGACAGATATTTCAACCTGAACTTCTGGAACCAATGACTGACAGTGTGTTCACTCACAGTATTATCCTCAAAGGCTTGATGTATTCAGTAACTTAACATGGCTGTAGACAAGCCCACCTTAAAGTCATAAAGCTAACAACCTTGAACGAACTGCTTCAATACTGCTATGGTTCATTGCCATTGCTCCAGCTATGACTGGTATGTGTGCAAAATGCACCTTCATTGATCAAGAGCAATGCAACCCTGCTCCACTTACAATACTTTTTTGGCATATGACTCACTTATTTGCACATTAGTGATCACTTCTTCCTACACAACGTAAAAAATGACAAGGAATTTTTTGGTTACTTTATAGTTCAGAACTTACCTCTACATTTGTCCCAACTAAAGAACACATTCTAAACGTTGGTTTCTATGGAGTTTCATAAAAGTGATCACACAAGTGCAGCAGTAAAATCCATCCAGTGCATTTATGGGGTCGATGCATTGAGTGAGAGGGAGGGAGAGTCCCATTTCAAAACTTGGAATTTTAGTCTAGAGGATGAACCAAGGGGGGTCATCCAAAAGGATTCAGTGGATTTGGAAGCTGCTGTTACAACAAATACTGCCACTGCAGCTAGGGAGCTCAGTGAGAAATTTAATGTTGTCATATCACAGTCATACACTAACTGAAAAGGATTGGAAAGGTTTCAGTAGTTGGAAAATGGATCCCTCATAACTTGTTTCCAGATAATTACCAACATGTTGAATGTTGTGAGTCATTGTTTACATGACAACTTCAAGTGCCTTTTTGGACAGGCTAGTTCCTGGGGATGAGAAATGGATTCTTTACCATACTGTTAAGCACCAACATCAGTGGATTAGTTGCAGAACCTGACCTGCTCATCAACTGAGAGGAGAACTTTTTTAAAAAAGATTATGCTGAGTGTATGGTGGGATATTTAAGGAATCATCCATTATGAACTGTTAGACAATCAAACAATCAGCACTGATTTCTATTGTAAAACAACTTCATCATTTGAAAGCACCTTTGGACAGAAAACATCCATCCAGAGTCAACAGAATGGGAGTAATCCTTCGTTATAATAATGCCCGTCCTCACACTTCATAATTGGCAAAAGATATCTTAGAGGAGTCAGAAAAAATTGCTTTGTCTCCCATATTCCCTGACCTTGTTCCTTCTCATTATCACTTGTTTAGGGATTTGCAGAACCATTTGAATGGCCTCAGGTTGACATCAAAAGAAGAGAGTGAACATGAGTTGGTCTTGTATTTTACATCAAAACCTAAAGAATTTTACAAATGTGGCATCTATAAAATTGTTGATAGATTGAATGAGGTTCTAGGAAGCAATGGAGGTTATATTGATTTTTAAATATTCTGCCCAGGAAAAAAGTGGTAAATTCAGAAAGATGTGAGACAATCATTGAAAACTGGTGATGACTGATATGACTGAAAAATTCACAAAGAATTTCTGCACATTTCGTTAATCCCTATGTCGGATGTTAACTTAACGCTCAAAATCAGTGAGTTGTTTAGCCATACGAGAAAGGCAGAACGAAAAGCAAAATTTGTTTGCAAATAACCTTTAAATAACAAATCACAAAATTGAGCAGCAATTAATCAATCATAAAAGAAGCAATCAAGGTTAAGTAATTTCATGAGAGTTGAATGATTATTTAAGGTCATGATTATTCAAGAAATTTATTCAAGGTTATTCAAGGTCAATTATTCTTAAAAGATAAAACAGTGATAATAAATTTGCCTCTTTTTTACTGGCCACACTAGATTGGTGGCAAGATTTCATCATTTTACAGTTGAAATTGCTAGATGTAACTATTAGTTCTATGTTAACTGTTTCTTTTCTCATACTTCTTGCTTGTGGAAATCTCTTCTGGCATTTTGCTTTCCAGTCAACTTTGATCTTCAAAAATTTAAATGTAATGTCATTCATTATTGTCTGTCTTCTTAAGTCTTGTTCTTTTATTATTCTCTCTCCTTAATGCTGTTTTCTTTTTCTCTTATTATTTCATACTTAGTAACCCCTTGCATCTTAGTGGCTTTATTGCCTTGCTTGAGGTGAAATGATTAAAATAAAAAAACTCATTTCAACCTGATAATAAAAAATTGAGTAATGTATTTACTTAGTTCAGAGATGGGTGAAAACTTGCAAATTTAATTTTCACTGACAGAGTTAAAGCTCTTCTGAAATTGATAGATATATAAATTATTTTACATGTAAATTACATTTTTTTTTATCATTTTGCCCCAAGCCAAGTGACAATGCCACTAAGATGTGAGAGGTTGCTGGGAGTGAAAGACAGTGAAAAGACTTTAAAAGAAACTGGAAACTCTAAGGGATAAACCTCTACTCCTGTTCAAAAGACCAGGGAGGAGTGTGAACCGGACGATAGGTGAATCTATCTACTCCTATTGAAAAGAAAAAAGAATCTTATTTATTATAAAACTCAGATTGTGTGTGTGTGTGTGTCTGTACGTTTATATATTGGATCGGATTTTCTACATTTTTCAACTGATTTCAACAAAACTTCACAGGACTGCGTAAAATTACCTTGAGGTGGTTCTGACAGTGCAAAAAATTGGAAAAACACAATTGTTTTTGCACAAAATCAATTTAAAAACACAATAAAACACAATTCTGTTGCCAGAATGAAAGGGGGACAACTCATATCAAGTTATACTTATAAAACCCAGGTTGTTTGTGTGTGTGTGTGTGTGTGTTCCTTTATATATGGGATTGGATTTCCTACATTTTTCAACCGATTTCAACAAAACTTTACTTTTTTTTGACAGGTAGTGTTTCTTATTGTCTTGCACACTTTTTTCTTTATTTTTACATACAGAATGCTTTAAAGATTCCATTTACAAGACAATTGTTTATAATAAAATTCTATTCAATCGGTAGACTCATAACGATTGAAAACAATGTTTTTGTTTGAGTTTGGGTTTGACCAATTTGCAAAAAAAAACAAAACAAAACAAAAAACTAATTAAGACATGCATGTCCGTCAACCTTAAACAATAATCTTTGTCAATTTTATTTTTCAGTCTTGATGATGGTCGATACTTGATCTATCTCTTATTGTTACATCCCCGGGCAACGCTGGGCTCTACTGCTAGTAATAAATAATTAGTAAATAAAATTTCAGAGTTCTGATGGTGGTGTTAGACATATTGTACTGAAGTGAATTATTAAAATGTATAAACCAAAAGGGTTAGATTAGTGCAATTGAATATTCAAGCAAGTGTAAAAATATTATATATAAAAAGTCAATAGTTCTGTATTCCTAAAAGAGATACACTTTCTCAGCTGGAAATAAGTCTGTTATACTTTAGAGGCTACTTCAGAAATTTTGTTCATGACACAAAATAAAGTGATGAAAAGAAATAGAAGACCAAAACAGTGAAATTATGTGATAAGAAAGCATTAAAAGTACTTTAAGTTCATCATATTATTTTCTTTAAAATTTTATCTCGTTTATAATATACAATTATTATTTCTTTTTCTTGGTTTTGCCTATTGAGTGTCAGGTAAGCAAGCACTGTAAAAAGAGATTCTACAAACAAGGTACTGGGTTGGCTGTCTTCATTCCAGAGCATATCATCTACCTGTTAGTTATTTCTACAGCGTTAGAAAGGAATGCAGGGTAAGGAAAACATTTGTCAACAAAATACTATTAAAACAAATCCAAGACACAGTATCACATCTTCATCTACACACACATGCACCCATATATATGTACATACACACATACATGTATATTATATACAAACCAATGCATACTTACATAGACAAACATGCATATCTACACGCATACATTGTTTACTTAGTCATGATTTGGTTCCATGTTAGATAAGTAATGATATGAATATGGCTATTTACAGGACTGTATCTAAGACTTAAATTTCAAGATGGATAAATTATGGGGAAGTCTGTACTTAAGGCAGAGTATGAATACAATTTCTATATTTTATATTTAATTTTTAACTTTTATTTGGAATGTCTGGATAAAGTACAGAAACAATTACTTCAATTCTATCTATCTGAGTCTGTTCATATCTATCTATCGATCTATCTATCTATCTATTTATCTATCTATCTATCTGAGCCTGTCCATATCTTTCTATCTATCTATCTAGCTAGCTAGCTGTCTCAGTTTTTCATATCTAAACATGTTCCTATCTCTATCTCTCTTTAACTGATTGTCTGTCTGTCTATCACTCTCTCTCTCTTTCTATACATATATATATATATATATATATATATATATATATATATATATATATATATATATATCAATCTGTTCATATCTATCCTATCTGTTTACATATCTCAGTCTGTTCATATCTATCTATCTGTCTATGGTCATTATCTGTCTGTGGTCATTATCTATCTATCTATCTATCTATCTATCTATCTATCTATCTATCTCAGTCTGCTCATATCTATCTATCTATCTATCTATATCAGTCTGCTCATAACTATCTATCTATCTATCTCTCTATCTATCTCAGTCTGCTCATATCTATCTATCTATATCAGTCTGCTCATAACTATCTATCTATCTATCTATCTATCTCAGTCTGCTCATATCTATCTATCTATCTACCTATCTATCTCAGTTTGCTCATAACTTTCTATCTATATCAGTGCTCATATCTATCTATCTATCTATCTATCTATCTATCTATCTATCTATCTCAGTCTGCTCATATCTATCTATCTATCTATCTATCTATCTATCTATCTATATCAGTCTGCTCATAACTATCTATCTATCTATCTCTCTATCTATCTCAGTCTGCTCATATCTATCTATCTATCTATCTATATCAGTCTGCTCATAACTATCTATCTATCTATCTATCTATCTATATATATATATATATATATATCAGTGTGCTCATACCTATCTATCTATCTATCTATCTATCTATCTATCTATCTATCTATCTATCTATCTCAGTTTGTTCATATCTATCAATCCCTTGTGTATAAGCATTTGTGTAAGTACAGAGGTATTACAAAGCAAGAAATTAATTAAAAGAATTTTTATAAAAATATAACAGTTTTGTATTTTTTTAACATACTTCAAAATATGTGTTCCATCTTCAATATTAAATATACATAAATAAAATAGTGAACAATAAATTTGAAAAATCTATATTCATTAAAATATTTAAAATGAGAATAATATATAAAAGATTAAAAAATTAGAAATCTTTGAAAATTAAAGAAAAAAATTCAAAATTTTCGAAGAAAAGTTAGAAGGTTAAAAGAATCTTTTGTTTTTAAAAAGTTGTAAAAAACATAAAAGAAATCATGACCAATAAACAGAAACTGCCTCAGCTCATTCCCAACAATACAAACTAAACTGTTTCTTCCTTACAGATTGTTTTCCTGAACAAGGCTGTTGAATGGATTGGCAAAAATGTTGTGGTAACAACAAAAGCATCAGTTCAGTAGGTCAAACAACACTTCATAAAGATTCTTCTCAAAATTATAAAAATATTTGTATTTACTATGAGATTTTTTAAAACTTGAAACAAAAAGAATCATATCAAAAGATAAGATGCAGGGAAGATAACTCTTGGAATAAAATCACATTTAGTTACACACGCGTGTGTGCATGCAAATTGTATGTGTGTGTGCAAGCAAAGACACCTGTCTATATGAACAGATTACATACAAACTCATAGTGTGTGTCAAAAATATTATCTTTTATATATCTACAATATATATATATATATATATATATATATATATATATATATATATATCAACACCAGCCTAAGAGAAAAAAATTAGGTCTCAACCAGTGGAAGAACACCAAAGCCGTCATAGAGAATTATACATATATATATTTATTTATATTTATATACACTTTTCACACACACACACACACACACACACACACACACACATATATATATATATATATATATATATATATATATATATATATATATAGATATTAGTGGAAAATATACATACATATGCAAATATATATAAAAAATTCCCATACATGTATATTTTCAGAAAAAAATAAAATAAAATAAAATAAAAAAAAAAAAAATTTTCCAAGACAGAAGGATCCAGGTAGAACTCAATGTCTAGGACAGAGTAAGGATATAATAAAAAAGCTTAAACACTAATATTCCATGGTCATTAGTGTTTAAGCCTTTTTTATTATATATATATATATATATATATATATATATATATATATATATATATATATATTTTTTAAGACATTTTTTATGTTTATACATTCTTTTTATAGATACAAATATTTAAGAAAATGATCTGTTTATAATAAACAGTATTAAACAACATTTACCAGCCTGAATGATATAGTACAGGTAATAAATCTATTGGTATATAATCCGAGTGGATCTTAGGTAATATCAAATATTAAAACTGATCCACAAAAAGAGCTCAATGTATTTATTATAACAGAGCATATAAATTACACATCAAAATCCAAAATTTACCTTATATGGGAGGGTATAGATCTATTTGAACCAACAAGAAATACATTAGTCTTATTCAACCCTTGTGTATAGACTGTGTTCATGTTGGAATTTGAAATTTAAAATTTAACTTTGACAGCAGTTGAAAAATTGGTACAGAATTTATCAATTTTGATGTTTCAGTCAAATGAAATGCCCAAGTCAGTGGAAAGAGAAGAGTTGAAGGGAGGAGGTTTTATAAAATTAACCCGGATATTAATCTTATGATATTAAATTGGGGTTATATGATGAATGAGGTGTAAATTGAAATTAAAAGAGTGCTGAAAAGTGAGTTTTATGTATAGAGAAAAAAATTTAATTATATAAAAAATGTTAGGTTCCTACTTAAAAAATAGCAAATTATACTTAAAAATGAGATATATTAAAAAGATTAACAATAAATCATATTTAGATAATTCATATTAAATTTAATTAATGATATAATTAAAAAATTACAACAACAACAACACATCTTTTAAATGAAACATATAAATGGTTATTTTCTGAAGGAAAAGTAGATGCAGAAAGTCATTTGAGTAAACATTTGTATATTTTTTCAAAAATATACAATGACAATAAAATGTTCAATATTCCTTTCAGTGCAGTTTGTTTTCTAAAGTAATTTATCATTCTTAGTGCAATGTGAAATGTGTGGATAGACTTACTTTATGACAGTCAGCCTAATGTGTTTTTGAATTCATAGACAAAAAGCTTCATCAGCGGTTGCTGGTTAATCACTTCTATTGTGTGCATGGACAAGGCCTTAATTGGCAGCTATTGACTATCATCTCTTTCATAGTTTTTTTGTGTGTGTGTGTGTACATATGTGTAGACCAAGCTGACCACTGAAATTGTTTTGAACCTCAAGAAACAGTATACTTCTATTTTTATATCTATAAGAGGATTCAAAGTCTAATTTCACATAGAGGTGTGAATGTTTTGAATACAAGGTTTTCATTCATTAGAAAATAATTTCATATTGGCTCACAAAAATCTTTTTTTCAAATTTTGGGGAGTGGTGTTTGTTATTTTCTAAATGGTCCAAAAGTAACATGTGGTAGATTTACAACTATATTCGCCAAGTATTTTGGTGGTATTTGCCACCACCTACAATTCCTTGAGTGCTTCCATCAGCACTGTCTCCGTACCATCCTCGACATTCACTGGAATGACTATGTCACCAACGTTGAGGTCCTCGAACAGGCAAAAATCACTAGCATTGAAGCCATGTTGCTGAAGTCACAGCTACACTAGGCAGGTCATGTCTCCAGAATGGGGGACCATCACCTACCCAAATAGCCTTGTATGGTGTACTCTCCACTGGCCACTGTGACAGGGGGGCACCAAAGAAGAGTTATAAGGACTCCCTCAAGAAGACACTTGGTACCTGCTATAATGAACATCACCAGTGGTCGACACTTGCTGCTGACTGTCAAGCCTGGTACTGCATCATCCACCAGGCCATCTCCACCTTTGAGGACTCTTGCAGGGCCAACCTGAAGGAGAAATGCAACAAGGAGGAATGACAGGGAAGCCTCAGCAGCTATACTAGACCTGACCTTTAATTCAATTGCTGTGGCCAGACTTGCCCATCCTGTATCGGCCTGGTCAGCCATCAGTGTGCTTGCAGTTGGTGCAGACAGGCCACTTCATAAATCTTCATTTGTGAAGCCAAGCCAAGAATAAATGATTGTTTATCAAACAAAGCTTCTGATTTTATTGGTTGAAAAATATGTATGGGATCTAATTCCTATACTCTATCACTTGTAATATGCATTTATATGCTTTTTTGTAGGTGTGTGAGATCACCACTTGTTGAAGTGTGTGATCAGCTGTGTGTTGGTGAAAAAGGGTCCGCAAACAAAATTGTTCAGAAGATAGTAAGTTGACAACAAAGGTATACAAGTGAGAAGGCAATTATGTGTGTAACAAATGAATGTGAAAACTTTTTGGGTGTATGTGTAGTGAATGAATGTGCATACGTACATGTGTGTGTATTGCTCATGCATTTCCCAAAAGGGAAGGGTGCTCTCTGTGAGAGATTACATGTTAATGAAAAAGTAGATAAGATCAGAAGAGAGTGATAAAAAATTATTGCAGTGCATTTATAGTCCTGAGAACATCCCATAGGAGCAGTTTCAAAAATTAGGAGGTAACCCAACACATATCATGCACTTAAAAAATTGTTAATTGATATTTTTTTGCATATGGGTAAAAGCCCCATAATGTACCTCAATCACATGTGTCCATAGATTCTTACAATGTATGTATATAAATGCTCCTTTCTAAAATTTTACAAATTTGGGTATTTTTCATTCTGATTTTTTTTAAAAACTCCAGAGAAAATTTGAAGTACTGGTTTCTCTTCTTGGTCATTTTTATTTTTTTAATTTCTCATTTAAAAGATTTTATTCAGTTCTGAAATGAACTAACAAATATAACACTAATTAAAAAAGAAAAAAATATTTATTTTCAGAAAATGAATCAAACATTTAGAAGTTACTTTGTTTAAATGGATTTTTTAGTAAAATTGAAGTCCTTGAATGAATTTGCTCAAAAGATTCAATAGATTCAGAGTATTTAAAAAAAAAAAAAAAAAATGATTTATGAGACAAAGACATTTAGTCTGACATAAACTTATAGCGGTGGCACCAATGAGGTTTTATCTGCAAAAAGTAGTGACATAATCTTCGTTTGGTAAGAGTTATCGAACTTGGTGTAATTGGGGGCGCTTCAATTTGCTTTCTTCAAGGCAAGGTGTCATCATGGCCGATACATTTGGGGATGATCTTTTCGACGTTTTTGAATCTCAACCTGATAATGCTAAAGAAACGAGTCAACCAGTCCAGGAAGAGAACAATCCAAATACTGATAACAAAAGGTAATGACCTATTTTCGAGTGAAAAAAATCTACTTCCACGTGGATGCCTTGTTGTTCTAATTCATACCACGTGTCTCGTATTCTTACTGAGTTACTGACTAACCTTATCTATAGCAGTTATTTTTAATATTTATTTATATTTGTGCTTGTCTTTGAATTTTATTAACTTCCAGGTTTGAGCTAGAAAATGGTGGATAAAGTTATTAAGTTAATCAAACAAAATATTTTTGCAATTCTTTAATGTGTGTGTCGAATTTTCTTGCAATCTCTGTCTAGTTTCGTGGAAAAGAAAAAACGAAACTAGTTACAAAATCGCATTTGTCTTGTGTTTTTATTGTTTTGTTTTGAAATTTTTTTTTCACTTGATATATTGCAAATTTCGTGTTTGTCAACATTTTATTCGGTTGATTTCTTCGTTCTTGTTTTTCAAACGTATTTTAAATAATATTTTTATTTCCGGAGACCGGAAATACTTTTAGTTTCAAGTGATTGGATGATGCTGGGAAATATGGCTAAGGCTCTACTAAATGTTTTCAACTTCGATTTCTTTCTTTTTTTTCTTTTAATGTTTTTGATTTTAGAATTTTTTTATTAAAGAAAAAGAGTAAAGAAAAATGCTGGAAATGTTGATGTTGAAATGCAAAACTGAATGAAGAGGGAAAGCTAAAAAAAACAAAAAAACAACATACAATGTATGTTGTTTTTTTTTTTTTTTCTAATCATAATACAGAGAAATTATTTAAGATTTATATTAATTACTCACAAACCAAATTCATCAATTAAATTTATTTAAAGGTAACCCTTTTTAACACAGTTCAACTTTCTATGGTTGATTTGAGATAAAAAAAACATACCTAGCATGAAGTTTAATCTTTTTCTTTTAACATAAAATAATCGGAAAAAAGGTTTTCAATAATAATATACAAACTTCCTCAACATGGTTTGACCACCGTTTTTACCAGGTACATGATTCTAGCTGTAGGCCAGGACTTGAATAAAATAATTGATTAAATGTTAAATGGAATAAAGCCTAAAATAAATTGAGTAAAAAAAGAAAAATAAATAAATAAATAAAATAATAATGGTGATGCAATCCCTTAGTCAGACCTCCCTGAATAATATCATAATTGAATTATTTCTTACTTGTTGTTAATTGTAATTAAATTGAATATACACACTTTTTCTTCTTTCTCTCTCTTTTTTTTTTTTTTTAGGGATACAAAAAAAAATACAATTACAAAATTTATAAACTAGGTGTGTTTTAACATCTTATTTTTGTTTATGTTTATAATTAGCTAACTTTTTTTTTTTTTTTTCTTTTTTTAAGCGATACTTGAGATTTTAAAAATAATAAAATATTTCTTTAAGCTTTTATTTTATAATTGCAAGCTAATAGATTGAATTTAATTATCTTTCCAATAAACAAAATATTTTACTGTTTCAAATTGAATTTTACATTGATTGGAATTAATTTTTTCTGATTATCTGCAAAGAAAGTCGATAAAATCGTTTCTTGACAAACCTGCCAACACAACACCATCTTTATTTTAAAAAAAAATCTTTAAAAAAAAAACATAAGCTATACTTTTCTGAAAAGTTGAGAAAAATTAGCTGATTTAAAATTTTGAATTTGAACAAATATTAGTTTTAGTTTTTTTACTTTAAAATATTGAAGAAAATCATTTTTTTTTTTTTTTTTTTTAATTGGGTGTTTTTATACTCATTTTTCATTAACCTATGTTCATGAGATCGCGAGAAAATGAGACCTCCAAAGCCCCCCACCTCTTAAAAATTTAATTTCTCGAAATTTCATGAAATTATGAAAGTGGGTGGTAACATGTAAAAAAAAAAAAAAAAAAAAAAAAATATTCATTTCTGAATATGTCCTGAAAGTGTCATTAAAATCCGACAATTATTTGAATTTTGCAAGAATTTCAAAATCAGTGTTTTTTCTTGGTAAAAGTGCAAAATAAAACTAACCTATTTTTTTCTCTAGTTTGCCGCTGTCATGAAAAAAAACAAAAAAACAAGGTTTTTAACCAAAATTTTGAATGTGCTAGAAAGGAGTAAAAATTTAAAAACATCATAAAAAAAAAATACTTTTGTGACTTTGTCTTTCCTCTTAATAATAACAAACTTTTCCATGACAAAACTTTGTTTTTATTGAGTTTGGGGCCTTTATTCATCATGCTATGCTGTTTTTACGTGACCACGTGATTGTACCTACTCTAGAAATTCAAAAATGTACAATTTAGGGATTATATTAGTTAAAAGCACAAGACTTTGAGGAAAGTAAATCCTTTTTGTTTTTTAGTTGGACCCCACTCTACCTTAAAATCAGCTCTGAATTGTAACATATAAAACAAAGATATTATCTAATTTTAAAAGCTTTTAGTTGCTTTTATGAATATGGATAATATTGTCAGAAAGCAAAATACTTTTTTGATGAAAAATAAATTTTTACAACATTCATTTCTTAAATTATTTTATTTTTACATTAAAGTTCATATTCTAAAATTAATGAAAATGGTGTGCAGTTTAGTTGATGGTGTTATTAAGTAGATCTATCTTTACAGATTATAAATTGTAAATCAGCAAGCCTCAATTAGATGTAAATCAGCAAGCCTCAATTAGATGAAAATCTAATTAAACATGGTTTTTTGTGTCCATAAACAATCTGTAATGCACGGAAGACCAAAAGCAGCATGAATACAATAAAACATCACATGGTTTACATTGATATCTAAACATTGTTCCCCGTAAAATGTAATAAATTATATTTTATGTACACTTATGATAAAATTTCATAAGAAAGGTACTTAATTAATTAGGTACCTTTCTAATAAAATTTTATCTCGCTCTCACTCATATTTTTAAATTTTTTTTATACTATTATATTTTTTCATAAAGTATTGTAAACATAAAGGTGGAAAGCTAAGTACCAGAAAACAAAAAAAATTAGAGCCCTGAAACTTTTCCTTAGAAATAATGAAGTAAATAAGTTGGTTCACTTAAAGCAAAATTGTCACTTCTGTCCTTCCATACAATAATTTTTCCTCGCGTAAGCTGTCAATACCTAATGAAATTATCACTTGTCAATCATCACTGCTTTTAAGACCTGCTTTCTCTTATTTTAAACTACATTTTTTTGGTGCAGAACGTATGTAATGTTTGTTTTAAAATATATTAAATGAACTTTATAATTTTTAATTTTCTTAAAATAAATTTAATAAACAGTATAATTGATTCTTGACAGAATTTTAAATGGAAAAAATCACTTTTGTTTACAAAATTAAGAAAATGTCTGACAATCGATTTTGTGTCAATTTTCCTGACAAAAAAAAAAACTATTTTTAATGGAAATTTTGGGCGTGTTAGGAATGATTAAAAAATGTAAAAAAAAAAAAAATAATAAAAAATACTTTGCTCTTTCCTCTTGATGTAACATCAAAAATAATTTATTAAATAAGTGCTTAAAATATTTTGTTAATTTTTAAAAATTACCTGGTAGTTAAAAAAACAAAATGTTTTTACTTAGAATTCATAAATTTGTCAATTCTGGTCCACCATATTTAACCTATCAACACCTTCAGCCATTAATATATTGATGAAGATATGAGAATAACAAAACCCCATGGTCAAGAAATGCTTGTATAAAAAAATTTATGCAATAAGTAATATGTTTCACAACAGATAATTTAACTTTAAATTTGCTAATTTTCTGCAAATAACATTTCAGAAATATATTTTATTTTTGCAAGATTTTTTAAAACTGAGAATTGTTTACTCTCAGTCAAAAATGACTGTTTTAATTGGTTTGGCTTAAAAAAAATCATGCTATTTGAAATACACCACAATATTTTGCTTTCTGGAATTATAAAATTTAATCCTTTAGCTTTCATTTAAAGCTAAAATGAAAGTTTCAAGAAAGATTTTTCATTTAAGAAAATTCACTTAAACCTTAGATATACTGAATTATTGGAGATACCTACTAACAAGTAATCTTTAAAATTTAAAATAGTTTAGGCATTCTAATATTTTACTGAATTTTAGGTACTTTGGATTTATAGTTTTACTAATGGAGGCACTTGTTGAGAAAATGTTAGAAAATTAACAATAAATTTGAAATTTAATATAATTATCAATCCTATTTTCTGATAACATCATGTACAGATGTCTATATTTACAAATCATCATATTTATACACAAAAAAAATTTTAAATTCATTTTAAAATACCGGGGTTGATGAATTGTAAGCTTATCCATTTATGATTTAGTAAATGCAGTTTTTATTTAACAGTATCACTTGACTGATACAAGTTAATACAAAATTTTAAAAGTGTGAAAATTTTAATTAGAATAATTTATTCTAATTAAAATTTAAAAAATAATTATTGTAAAAATACATTATTTATTTTAAAAAAAAAAAAAAAAAATTCATAAGACATTTTTATTTACTTTTTTTTTAAAAATTTTTTATAAAAGCCATTAAAAGTCTTCTAATTAAAAACTTTAGTTTTATTGCATTTTTTATTTTACAATTCAGAGCAGATTTTTTTGTAACTGGAGGTCCTGTTTGATCAAAGAAAATTTGCCGATTTAAATTCTCCAAGGACATGTTATAATTAATATAAGCATTAAGGGCTACACAAAAGAATTACTTGAAATTTCATAAAATAAGTTGTTGGGGGGGGGTAACAGATGTTATACATGTGTTTATTTTTAAGATTTTCTGAAAAGAAAAAACGTTTCAATATAATTTCATTCATTTGCAAATAATTACTGGAAAGTTTCATTTAAAATGTGAAAATTGTCTGATTTTTCAAAAATTCCCCCCCACACACACACCAGAAATATTATGTTAAAAGAAACAAATATGAGCTCAAAAGTATACATAATAATAGAAATATTCCAGAACAACAACAACTGTAATACTGTTTCTTTTGTTGTTTGTATTTAATTATTCTGTTTCTTTGTTAATTAGAGCCGAAGATTTACTTCGAAGTATTGTTCAGAAGAGAGAGTCTCCAGACAGCAGCAAAGATGATACACCATCAAAGAAGCACAAGGCTGACGAGGATCTCACGTAAGTTTACATTCAAGGTAGGGGAGGAAGTGCAGAAAAGTTCTTTGCCTAACCTACTTCCCAAAATTTGATATAATCATCAGAAGTTACTTTTGAATTGCTTTTTTGATCAGGCCAGGACTTTTTCAGCATCTTTTTTGTATGTATTACAACTACATCTATGTGAGAGAGGTTGCATCCAAGGATGCAATCATCTATTTACAGCCACACATTTCAAGAAATGCATGGTGACATCATTTATTTATTTTTCAAATTGCCATTTATGCAGAAATATAATGGGTGGCTACCCAATTTTTCGAGCACACCTATATTCTGGGCAACTTACCAGATACCCGCTCGGACATATTTGTATTTATTCAACACCCATGGAGCAAATAGGCTGAGTGGACCTAAGTTACATCTTCTAAGAGAGAATGCATGATCAACAGATTGATCAAACCCTTTGTCACGATGACTTGTGACTTCATGTTAGCACAATATCAGCACCTTCCAAACACTTGCATCTACTCAATTACACTTGGAAGTCTTGGGTCAAACCAGAGTGTGGTTTTCAGGCCTTTTTTTAAAGGTGCTGCCTGTTGTGACTACATTCCTCCCCCAGATACTCCCAGTCATACACATATATAGTTCTGATTTAGTTTATATATTTTCCTATTATTTCTGAATATTTGTTTATGATTATTGAAATGTATTTTTCCTTTCACTGACTGAAATAATAAAAAAAAATTGTAGAGAAAGTCACTTACTGAGAAAAGGCACATGTGTTCTGTACGATATGTCAAAGACAAAATAACCAAAATAGAAACAAGTCTAGTGGCAACTATTTTCATAAAATATCAAGTGGGATGTGTCACAGGGATTAGAAGCCTGTGCATGATTTGTATTGATGGGATGCCATGCCATGTAAGAGATCTGCATCCCTTTGTCAGTTCAAACACATCAACAAGTGATGTCAACAGCGGATCCTCTAACGATGACGGACTGGTCAAAATGAGAGATGCCTTGAGTATGTCCTGAAGAAAACTACGCTCGGCCTAGTGGATATACTTCTGATGTCTCTCTGGGAGGCGATTCATCAACTGAGGAGATGGTAGTTGTTCCTTTGAGAAAAAGCACAAGGCTTAAGAGACCCGCTCCCTGCTTGTTATCAGTGTGATCATGAGATGGGGGTATGAGAGAAGGGCACGTGTATTCTGTACGATATGCTGAAGACAAAATAACTAAAATAGAAATAAGTCAGTTGCAGCTGTGGCCATACATGCATCTTGCATATGCTAACATTGTGTCCTCCCCCACCTGTCAACCAACGAAAAAATTGTTCTGACAATAAAAGCCGTTGATGTTCTTGAATTGAGAAGTCGTTTATTTTTTCTACCTCATCCGTCAGCTTGCATGTTGGATTGCTGACCATTTACATGTATTGGAATTTGTGACATTGGACCAACAATTCATGATTTCAACACTTTTTTTTTTTTTTTTTTTTTTGCCCCTGGATCTTTGAGTTTGGACTTGCGATTTGTTTATTTTGATGTAGAATTGGGTTGCTATATTCATTTTTGAACAAAATTAAAGGCAGATTTCTGTGATTGTAATTTCCTTTTCAGTGAGTATTCTGATATTTTAATTTGATAAAGTACCTCTATTTTTCTATAGCATATAAAGACAACAAAATGATGTTTTGTGCCATATTGTGTTTTATTTATAACCTAAAATTAATTTGTTTGTATTGCTATATTTGTTATTGAGATTAATTTACTTTGATGGATAAAATTTTACTTTTCAGACTGGCCCCTGAAATCATGCCACGAATCCAAGTTCATAAAGTTGAAACTTTGGAGTCCTGCACCCATGAGGTAAATGTATATGTAAAATTATAACAAATCTCATTCCTAAACAGTTTTAATATGAAACAATGAATGCTCCCTCACAAGATTTCTATGTTAATTATTGTGTCTTAGATGAATGCCAAATGTTTACACAAAAAAAACTTTTCTTTTTTTTCAGGTTGACCTGTATAAATTGCAACATAAATATTCTTGCTTCTTTCAAGCACAAAATTAAAAAAAACATTATTTAATAAAAACTATATATTATCTGTCTGCATTTATTGTTGATTTCTTTTTCTGTTTAATACTAGCATAAAAATAGCATAAGCTTTTAGTTATAGCAATTATTGAGGTGAATCATTAATATTTTTATTAGAAGTTTTCAAAAATTGTCAAACATTTTAAAATGACATTTCAGCTTGGATATCTTTTTACTTCATCAATCTTATTTGATATTATTAAAACAGTATACCTTTTAATTAACCAGCTGATATCAAATACAGATGTCGGGCAAAATCTTTTACCTCTTTTGTGTGTTGTACAGATAAAAATAAAATCATTGAAGAGAAACATTAGAATTGAAAACTACCTGTGTTTTCGTATGAAATAACCCTGAAAGGTTTGATACCATTTGTGGGGTGGTAAGCTTATGTTACATTAAAATAATAAATTTTCACTTTTTCCTAATTTTAGGTAGCAATTCCACCTGATGAAGAATTTATCCCTTTGAAGCCTCCACCAGAAAAACCTGCTCAAGAGTTTCCATTTATTCTTGATCCTTTCCAAAAAGAAGCTTTGCTATGCTTGGAGAACAACCAATCTGTGCTTGTTTCAGCTCACACATCTGCAGGAAAAACTGTCGTTGCTGTGTAAGTTCTCATTTTCAACTTCTATTAACTTACAACTAACATTGAAACACCGGTTCTTATATGATCACTTGAAGTTAAGCAACATTGAGCTTGGTTACCACCTAGATGGGTGGTGGCATAGACATGCCAGGAGCTGTAAGCTTAGATGTGCAGGTGAGGGTAATAGATGATGGCATGGAATTAGAATTTGAAGAGCCAGGTTCCATTTCCAATTGGGTTCATTGTATTCACTTATGCACAAATACCATTGGGAAAAGTATGAATCTGTCTCTTCACCGCCTAGCTATAGTTAATTAGTAGGATTTGTATTAGTAAATCATGTATACAAGAAATTCTTACAATCTAAAGATATTTTCTGGTTTAAAAAATCTGAAAATGGTTTGATAAGCCATAAAAACAAATCAATTTCATATTTGGATGAAAGAAAAGTTTTCTTATAAAAAAAGACAATTTTTTTTTTTATTTTGATAACATTTCAGCTATGAATATGAAAGTTTTTTTTTTTTTTTTTTTTTTTATTTTTTATAAATCTTCAACAAAACAATTATAGTGGATTGTGACTCATAAAAGGGTTAAAACTGAATTTAATACAATTATATATATTGTGCATTTTTGCCATTATGTAACTCCTTTCTTTCACTCTTTGCAATTCTTCCATGTTTATTTTACATGTTATACTTGATACATCTTAAATATTCAGTAGCATGTCTGTTTGCAATTATTTTATCATTTAATAAGCATCCAATGACAATTAGCATGTTTTTAAAAAAATTTAAGTTTTTCAGCTGCCTTTAAAACCTCATTAGACGTAACATTGCTGTTACTTATTTGCCGAGATGTAATGCCTTTTGGAATTTTTCTTAAGGGTCGATGGTTAACTTTAAAGTTGTTTATTAGCAAATGGCATGGATGGGAAATAAATAAGAATTGGGGAAAGAGGAGGATATATTTGTAGAGAATTGGTAATGCTTCATCTGATAGAAAATTTGAGTTGAAAAGTGTCTTGTTTACAAATACTTTATAAATATCAGTAGCATTTCCTGCTGTCAAACCTCCTTTTGATTGTTTTTATTTGTATCATATATTTTCAAAGATTGATTTGTGAAATTTCAAATGCCTTAATCATCATTAAAATAATCAATTCCTTTATTGCAATGCTTTTGACTGCTTCTAATGTGTGATAATACCGAAAAGTTCTTTTCAATGTTCCCTTGTATTACAGCATATGCAACATTTTAGATGCCATATAAAATAACCTGTTGAAAGAAAACAAGCTTGTTAATAAATCGGATAATTTTTTTAGATAATTATCATTGTAATCAACTAAAACTAATGAAAAGTTAATTTCTTTTTAAATATTTTGAGTAAATTAAGCAAAGAAACAGATTGATTTTTCTGCTTGAAAATATCTGCATATTGACAATCAGGTTAGTTTTCAGGTTGACAAAATACATAATCATTTTTATTTCTTTTTCTAATTGTATTTACATATTTGCAGCTATGCCATTGCAATGTCTCTTCAGAAAAAGCAGAGAGTCATTTACACTTCCCCTATCAAAGCTCTCAGTAACCAGAAATACAGAGAATTGTTTGAAGAATTCCAAGATGTTGGTCTCATGACTGGGGATGTTACCATCAACCCCACAGCCAGTTGTCTAGTTATGACCACTGAGGTGAGATTTTTATTTTTTGTCAAAATTTTCTTTATGTTGCATGTTTAATGAAATGTTGGTTAACATTATTTTCTAACTATAATCTGACACAAGGCCACAAGTACAGAGTAACCAGTTTAAGTTACTGCAATAATAATGGTTTTTAAGTATAACTTCATTTTTATAATAAAGAAATCAGAGCTATTGCTTTAACTGTTAATTTTTAAGAATTTGCTTGAGATAATTTAAAATTATCACTTAATTGTGATATGAATTAGGATATTAGTAATTTGTGGTTTAAATTTTTTTATTAATATTGACAGATGTCTAAAGAATAACTAGAAATGGAATCTGAGTGTGTGCCAACAAAAAGGAATTGGCTTTATTGATCAAGGCTATCAATATTCCAAAATTAACCAGGCAGCATAATTATTGAGGGGAAAAAAGATCAGCACCATGAAAGGATTGTTTCTCTATTGGTTGAGATACGTTCTAGCTTGATGACCATAAAAACAATTCTTCTATTAAGATGGTCATTGGATTTAAAAGAACAGTTCTGCTGTCATTCATGTTGCTTTGTTTAACAAGATAAATTTCTCCTCAATCTGATGCTAATCAATTGTTTGTACAAAAAACCCAAAACAAATACACTTTTTTATTTCATTAACTAAAAAAAATTAAACATTAACTTAAAATCAAATTTGTTTTTTGTAATTTTTGTTTTCTTTTACTTAATGATTAATGTTAAGCTTACATAATGATATGAGTGCACTCCTCCATAAATTCCTTTTTCTTTTTCTTTTTTTCTTTTTTCTTTTTTTTTTTTTTTTTTTTTTTTCTTTTTTTCTTTTTCTTTTTTTTTTTTTTTTTTCTTTTTTTTTTTTTTCTTTTTTTTTTTTTTTTTTTTTTTTCTTTTTTTTTTTTTTTTTTCTTTTTTTTTTTTTTTTTTTTTTTTTTTTTTTTTTTTTTTTTTTTTTTTTTTTTTTTTTTTTTTCTTTTTTTTTTTCTTTTTTTTTTTTTTTTTTTTTTTTTTTTTTTTTTTTTTTTCTTTTTTTTTTTTTTTTTTTTTCTTTTTTTTTTTTTTTTTCTTTTTTTTTTTTTTTTTTTTTTTTTTTTTTTTTTTTTTTTTTTTTTTTTTTTTTTTTCTTTTTTTCTTTTTTTTTTTCTTTTTTCTTTTTCTTTTTTTCTTTTTCTTTTTTTTTTTTTCTTTTTACTATAAAATGTTAGTTTGTTTTGTTTATGATTTTTTTTTTTTTTTTAAATATTTCTTTTTAAAGATTTTGCGAAGCATGTTATACCGAGGATCTGAAGTCATGCGAGAAGTGGCCTGGGTCGTTTTTGATGAAATTCATTACATGAGAGACAAAGGTAGAACTTTTTGCAGTCTTTAAATTGTCATTCTTTGTGTGTTAGGATTTTTGGCATCATGATTTTGTTTGTTTCTTGTGTATTTTTTCAGAACTGCTTTTATTTTACAATTAAAGTTGTTTTTATTATTTGCTTTATTTAGAGAGAGGTGTTGTATGGGAAGAGACAATTATCTTATTGCCTGATAATGTTCATTATGTCTTTCTCTCTGCTACCATTCCAAATGCCCGCCAATTTGCTGAGTGGATATGTCATCTACACAAACAGGTATTATTTCAATTTTCAGCTTGCTGCATTTTTATTTATTTATTTTATTTTATTTTTTTTTTCTCCAACTATACCACAAAAGCATAATGAATTGTAATCATATTTTGCTTTTATCTTTCATTTTATAAAAGAAAACAGACAAAAATGAACAAAGAAACTGCATGTCTAGAATCATTATTAATGATAATAATAAATCACAAGCTAAAAAAAAATAAGATTGCCATACATACTCGGGTATAGTGCGAGTTTTTTATAATCAGTTTTTTTACTCCAGAAATAAGGGACTGCACTATGAACAGAAAATATTTTGGAAGAGGTTAAAAATCGTGCATTTCAGTGACTGGTTGCTATATACACAGGTAATTTTTTTTTTCTGTAGGACTTAAAATTCCTGCAAAAAAAAAAGATTCAGGGTTGCACTAAATATGAAGTCTGCTTATACACGAGTATATATGATCAGTCTTTTATTTTGCATCTTAATCATTTACTAGAATGAAGTTATTTCAGTACTCTTTATTTTTTTTTTTTTTTTTTTTTTTTTTTAAGTTCGTGAATATATATTTAACGAATATATAATGTTAAAACAGACAAGTGGTATTTTTACAATCTGATTATTACTATCATTTGATAGTTCTTAAAAATCTAGGTTTCATTTGATTTAAATTTCCAATTGATTTAAATTTTTCTGCAATTTAGCTGTGATTGTCTCCCTTTTCTTTTGTTTATACATTGATTGTAGTGATTTGCATTTTGATACATCTCTCAATCATGGTGCTCCAGTTATTAGCCCTCCTCTTCCACTTCTGGTCAGCATGAATTTTCTAAAGCTAGAAAGAAGTAATCATTAAATAAAAACCTTTCTTTGTACTTGACTCTGGTAATATAACAAGTATTTGGACATTAAAAAAAAATACATGATTTGAAGTAAAACTCTCCACTAAACAAAAATAAATGCAGGTTTTAAGCAAACAAATACTGGTACTCATAATATGCAAACAGCCACAGCATACAATGGCAACAGAATTGATCATTTTTCAGCCAATCCACCCAAAACCCTCCTGAAAAAAAATTCATTATTATTATTTTTCAGGAGGGTTTTGGGTGGAATTGCTGAAAAATGATCAATTCTGTTGCCATTGTATGCTGTGGCTGTTTGCATATTATGAATTTATATTTTCCACAGTTTTGTCCTCAAAATTAACAATATAAACTCCTTTTTGTAGGTCCTGCATGATGAAAAAAATGCATTGACATGAATAATTTTCTTCAAATAAAATATTTCAATCAATAACTTCATACTTTCAAGGAGTTTCTCCGCCATTTTAAAAATTAGTCATGTCTATAATCAAACAATAAAAAACTTTCTTTTTTTTTTTTTTCTTTCCTAGCCTTGTCATGTTGTGTATACTGATTATCGACCAACACCATTACAACATTATATATTTCCTGCTGGTGGGGATGGCATTCATCTTGTAGTAGATGAAAATGTAAGTAACTTCCAATGATACTATCTTATTTTGAGCTACACAATTTCCCTTATGGACAAATAAAAGATTTAGTTATGAAGACTGCATATTGCCAAGATGGTTCTTTTGAAAGTGAGCCTTAAAATAGTTTTGACTTTTTTGTCATTTTTTCTTTATCAGAATTATGCTTCTGATCAAAGTTGCCACACTAAACTAACAATTAGCAAATTTAATTCCTTTTGAAACTCCAATGCTACTATATTTTTTTCTCCCACATTAGTAGCCCAGCTTATTTTAATAGCACACATTAAAAATGACAAGTAATGAAATTCAATATTAAGCAACACTAGGCTTTCAAAAGTAACCTACACCCCCATATTTGCATATCTTACAACCATGCCCCTGATATCAGAATGGTTGCAATATTATAAGATGTCAGGATTAATTAAATAGGGAAGTTTCTTTACTGTTACTAACCTTAATGCCTTTTGTGCACTAATATCCATTTTGGTAATGATGACTAATAGAACCCCCAAAATGGTAATTTGTAAGAGAAATAAAAATTCCCTTTTACATTAGAGATGTGAAGTTTGCTATATATTTTTTCATTTACATTATTTACATCATTCGGACTATTGTCCTCATATTTATTACGTTTCAGCCTTCTTCAGGTGGTTGGAATGTCAAACTGAACTATTTTGTTCACTGGGGTATACCGTTCTAGTTCCACATGCCATGTTTAATGGATGTCAGTTATCTCCTGTTAATTTTCCCTCTGAAAGTTCTCCACTGCCTTAACCGGGTATTGAACTCACACTCTTTGGGTTCTGTCACTGGATCTAACCAACGCCTTTATCCACTTGAGGACATCTGCATATGAATTTCTGGGTATTATAAACCTAATGTCTTCAGCTCCATTTTTACCAGTGCTCATATTGCGGCCGAAACGTAATAAATATGGCGACAAAGATGAGGACAGTAGTCCCAATAATGTAAATAATATACATAATACCTCATCTCAGAAATATAGCCAGACTTTCTTTTTTAGCTTCCCAACATGTTAAATTGTAATAATATAAATTCTTACTGACTAAGTGATTAAGCTTTCTACATTTTTCTTCTAATTTCTGAAGATATTAAAGATAAATCAGAAAACATTTCAATCTTGCCATCTTCTTCAAATTCTGTATTCATCTGGATGAAACGTGTTGCAAAAACTTTCTCCCAGTTTGTCATACTTTTTTTTCTTCTGTGTTTAAATTGATGATAATGAATTCTTTCAGGGTGAATTCAGAGAAGAAAATTTCAGTACTGCCATGCAAGTCTTACAAGATGCTGGTGGTAATGCAAGAGGAGACATGGGTCTGAGAGGACGGAAAGGTTCCATCAAAGGTATGTTTATTTGATTCTTTTTTATGCTTTTATTCTGTTAATATTGTGATGTCTAATATTTCACTAGTAAATTATTGAGCAAAAACGAAAGTCTATTAAACTTACATTGTGTTTTATCGTTCATTGAAATATTTCTTTTGCAATGATTTGATGTCTTTTTTTTTTTCCCCCAGATAATTCTAATTGTTACAAAATTGTTAAAATGATTATGGAGAGAAATTTTGCACCAGTTATTGTGTTTAGCTTCAGCAAGAAAGATTGTGAAGCATACGCACTTCAACTTACAAAGCTGGACTTCAATTCAGGTATTTTCCTTATATTTCTGTTATTTTATAAATCTGCTTTCTTTTTAAAAGTTCAATAAATTCAAAAATCTTTGTTAGAAGCATGTTACTTTCTCTTTTTTGGAATCGTCCTTAGAAAAACATCTTTTAACAATTTAAGCAATTTAAATTATAAATAATTATAATTTAAGTATAATTTAATTATAAATTTAAATTTATACAAGCATCTTTGTAAATATTGAGAACTACAAATTCTAAGTACTCAAATAGAAACCAATAATTCTTGATTTTATTCTGTTATGGCGTGAACAGAAAATTATGAGATTATCTTTATTAGCAGATTTATAATAGACACAGTTTTAGATCATTATCAGTTCAGTTTAACATGATATCAAGGAAAGATAATGTATTGTTTGTTTCAGAAATAAATTCAATTGTATGTTTGATATTTAGTTTAATTACAAGAAACAACATAGAATTATAAATCGGAAACAAACAATACATTACCTTTCCTCATATGTTAAGCTGTACTGACAATGATATAAAACTATTTATTGTAAATCCACTAATAAAAACGACCTCAAACTTCTATTCACACCATAACAACAAAATAAACTCTGGAGTAATTACCAGTTTCAATTTACAAGTTTATAAATCTTAGAAAAGAGTTGAGTATTTTTATATATTTGTGACTGATATTTTTTTTTTTTTTTAATTCTGTAGCTGAAGATAAAAAACTGGTGGAGGAAGTTTTCAATAATGCTATTGATAGTTTATCTGACAGTGACAAAAAACTGCCACAGGTCAGTTTGCATTCTTAATTTTTTTTTTTTTTTTTTTTTTTTTTTTTTAAGTGGATTGATTTCATTAAAAGAAATTTACTGCAATTTATTTCAATACTGTACTTCATGTATTTATGGCACTAAAGTTGTTATAGGAATTTTATTGATATCTATTGTCTGTAATTAAAAATTTAGTCAGATTTTTTTTTTCTTTTCTTTTTTTTTAACACTTAAATTAAATTTACAATTCGTTTGCACTAGAATTCTTTATTAGAAATGCATTTTTTCAAAGAAAATCTTAAATTTTTTTTTTTTTTTTTTTTTTTATTTATTTATTTTATTTCTTTTAATTAAACAAATAAAAGAAACTTTCAAAAGACAGTAATTTGTGAGAATATGTGCATACCATTTTGAATAAATTTCCTGAAATGTTTTAGCACTGATTTCTATAAGTCATTTGAATTTTAAAATCTAAAAATCCTGGTCTCTGGAAATAATTACCTCCCTATTCTCTTTCTTTCACTCTCTTATTTGCAGGTTGAAAATGTACTTCCATTGTTAAAAAAAGGTATTGGCATTCATCATGGTGGACTTTTACCACTTTTAAAGGAAACAATTGAGATTCTCTTTGCTGAAGGTTTAATTAAGGTAAATCATAAGGATTTTAATGTAAAAAAGAAATCCTATTTTGGTCGCAATTATATCATTATTGCCTGAAATTGTTTGTGCCATTAATTCATGAAAAGGAACAAGAATGCTTATGACATTTTCATTGTTGAACTCCTCAGAATAATTGGTTTCATTAAGATAGTTTATTGAAGCAGCTTTTCTAATCTTTTAGCAACAGTACATTATTTTCATTTTTCATTACAGCTGAAATTATATCCATCTAACAAATTCAATTTTAGTTTTTATTTTCTTGACTCCATGTGAAGTTATGACAATCCATATAGTTGAAGAAATTTCATCATTGACTAAATTTGCGCTTAAAAGGTTTGGTAGATTGTTGATATGTGACTGATGATATTTGAAAATCATTACTTAACACTTTCTCACAAAACAAGGTGGCAATGAATTTAAATAAATAAGCTGAATATTTGAACCTGAAATTAATGTAGGGTTTATCAGTATAATCTAGTAAGATGGTCTCTCTCATCCCCAACTAGGATTTGCACCTATGACAATGTATTATTATCTACAAGAAAAAGACTGCAAATGAATATTCCCAGGGTCATAAACAATCCAACATTTTGATTAAGTCTACTTTTTAGTTATAAGAAACTGATAAAGGTGATTAATCAGAACTCATTTAGCAAAATTACTATTTATCCCCACCCAGAATTCTAAGAAGTGTGGATAATAATTTTTACCCCAAGCAAGGCAATAATGCCATAATCTTGCTTGGGGTAAAAATTATTATCCACAAGGAGTTACTGGGAGTGAATGGGTAAACCAATCTAGTTCTATTGGAAAGAAAAAGTAAAAACTTTGGAGTTTAGGTGGTAACATTAGAAGTGTAGAGTTAAACTAAGAGCACGTGTGATTCAAATTGCATGTTTTCGAGTAGGGGAACTTACGTAAGTGACGTTGCATTTAAAATTAAGAAAAAAAAAATCCTTTTGGTAGGGGTGGGTTGGTGCCTATTAAGGCGTGGAATTATCTATCAGCTTATATCTTATTACCCTCCCAATCCTATTGCTGTGTGTGGCGGGTTAAACAACAAGGGAGTGGATTTGCCTGTTCACATAGGCATATAATAAAAAAAAAAATTAAATCTTTTAACACAGCTTCAACGAGAATTTGATCTCCATTTTCTTTACTGATGAGTTCTTTCTCCTTGTTTAGTGTTTATTTAAATATTCACTACCTGTATTACATGAATATTGTCAGGTTATTATAAAAGGTTATTCTACTTTACATTTCTCTTAGGCCCCCCCCCCAATGTCAGTTGTTCATTTATATAATTTAATTTTAGGCCCTGTTTGCCACAGAAACCTTTGCAATGGGTTTGAACATGCCTGCAAGGACTGTGCTCTTCACGACGGCTCGTAAATTTGATGGCAAAGACTTCAGATGGGTAAGTTAGACATTTTTATTTTGGTAATGAGATTTCAGAAAAGATTTGTAAATTGTTTTTGTTTTCATTCAGTTATGTGCCATGCGTGATACACACTTAGGCGATCATGTATCTTTTGATACATGACTGATGAGGCAGATTTTTTCTTGCAGAAGGTTGTCATTTCTTTGTCGTAGGCCAGTTGCCATCCAAGGCTATAGAAACCTGTCTGTCCTATTTACCCATAGCTGGGGGAGAAGAGGATTCCTACCTTTCCCAAGGGTATTAGCACATAATGGATTCAACTGGAATTTGAACTTGGCTCTCCGATTCCTCAATCTGAGCTGCTATCCATTCATCAGACTTATTTTGTAACTTTATCAGCCCTAAAGAAATGTCAATTCTCATTTACCTGGAGTAATTGTTGAAACTTTATCAATACTGTTTTTATTATGAAGTAATTATGATTTTCTTCCTGAAAAGATTTACAACAGCAGTCAAGATTAACATTATCAAAATAGTGAACCTCTGATTCTGCATTGCTTAGATGAATATATTTAAATATTGGAAGATTAGTGCAACACAATCTTCCTATTTTTATTTCCTCATGTTTTATGCTAAATTAAGCTTTATATTGTTAATACTAACAGTTCCCTAAAGAAAAAAAAATGCCAAAATCATTTAAATATGGATTGGCACTTCAGTTGAGGACTAGTGTTGCATCTGTGCACATCATCTTTGATTAAAGTGTCGCTCCTCAGCCTAAGATCAGTGTAGCATCTGCACGTGCTGCCTAACTGGCTGTTTAGTTTTTACTATGCTGTTCAAGCAGCAGAACACTAGTATAGTGTATATGTTGTTTGTTTGCTAAACTCCCAGGGCAATAATCATTTGTTCATTTTATCTGTTTACTTTAACGTGACAAGTTGCAAAGAAATATTCAGCAATTTTTATGAATGATATTAGTCTGAAGATGTGCTTTTATGCTAAATATTCTATGACTATTAAAATCCTTCATTTTCTTTTCCCTTGAAAAAAAAGATAGAATCAAGTGATATATTATGGTTAATACTTGACAGATTTTCTTTTTTTTTTTTTTTTTTTTTTTTTTTAATCTGGTAATATTTCTTTTGACAACTTATTTACAACCATAGGAAATTTTATTTGTTAAGAAGTGAATTAAAATATTTTTCATCATTTTATAAAGACAATTAGATTTTATGCAGTTATAATCATAATTATTAATGGAGGCCTTCTGTGCAATTTAAAAAAAAAAAAAAAAAATTAATTCTGCATTTGATAAATACTTACATTGATTTTTTTTTTTTTTTTTTTTTTTTTTTTTTCCTTTTCTTCTTAAGATCACTTCTGGGGAGTATATTCAGATGAGTGGACGGGCTGGTCGTCGTGGTATTGATGATCGTGGTATTGTCATTCTTATGGTTGATGAGAAAATGAGCCCTGGTTCTGCCAAAACAATTGTTCAAGTAAGTAAATTTGACTCTACAGAAACCATGTTTCCATAATGGAAATGAGTTTCTATGAAGATTTAAAAAAAAAAAAAAACTCTTGCTTCACGCTAAAATAATTTGCAAAAAATTGTTTCATTATTATGAATGAAGTTATCTAAAATGTCTTATTTTAAATTCCAAATGCTTTGAAGTAAAGAATAAAAGGTTGGCATTTTCTCATCCAAAAATGAAGTCTTCTATCTTTGATACAGAAGTAAAAAATAAAACAATTTTCTCTCTGAAATCAATAAACACATCACAGTAATCCACTGAAAATGAAAGTTCAAACAACTCGGAAAGATGAAGCTTATTAATGAATTGAAAATTGATCTTTATAATACTTGCAGTACTTTTTGAAAATGTTATAAAATTTTTGCTCCTCTGATAATAATTGAATCAGTATTTGGTAAACAACATTTCTCTCCTTTTAAATGTAATCGCTATATGAGAAAATGTCATCAGCTAAATACTCTTGTTACCCAGTGTCAGTGTTTTAAATGCATTTAAAAATGTAAATACTATAACTGATCCTCTGCTGAATGCTGTTGACCATTCCCCACTCTAAATGCCAAACGGTAGCATAATACATAAATGAAGCACCACAACATTTTTTTTTTTTTGTTATTTGATTTGGAATTAGCAAATGATTTTTCTTTATTACAGGGAGAACCTGACCCTTTGAACAGTGCATTCCACTTGACCTATAACATGGTTCTTAATTTGCTTCGAGTTGAGGAAATTAATCCTGAATACATGCTGGAGCGATCTTTTTACCAATTTCAAAATTATGCTTCAATTCCTCAACTTTTAGAATGTAAGCATTTAATAATGATTTCCAAGAATTCTCTGTTTTGTTTTTAAACAGTTTTATATTTTTATTGTTTGTTGTTGTTTCTGTTGCCAGTTATTCAGTGCCTGTTAGTTCCTTTTAATTGCAAATACTTCTAAAATCTTACTTCCAAAATCTTACTTCCTTAATAGTATTTGTAAATTTCTTGACTAAAAGGATTGTTATTAAAGTTGATGTTCATACTTTTAGGGAATATTTTACTGAATGTTCACATTATATTCATAGCAGTAAATAAAGAAATCTTATTAATTCATGTTAAAATTCAGAAGGACACCATTTTTTTTGGCTATTGTCAGATTCTTTTATTTACATCAATAGTATTATCTCAACTTAGACTAAAATTTCTGCATTTGAAAAGAATGAAATGTAAAAAAAAAAAATACATTCTAAATGTTTTCCACCTTCAGTAAAATGACTAAATTGTAAACCATTATTAGTTGAAACTCTTACATCACTTGGATGATTATTTGTTTTTCTTTAGTTTCATCTTGATCAGTAAAATTAACATTGGTTTTGTTGTCAAATACATGGCTAGACCCTTTCTTCATTTTTAAGTAAATTCATGAAAATGTTCTCTTTAAGAAATCTACAGAAGTAAAGCATTCTTTTAATTTATTCTTAGCCTTAATTCAGACCTTTTTTTTCTTTTTTTTTTATTCTATTTAGGTTTGCGAAAATGGGAGAAAGACTACAGTAATTTGACTATTCCAAATGAGGATCAAATTTCCACTTATTACAAAATCCGACAACAATTAGACATTTTGTCTAGTGAATTACAAAGTTTCATTACAAAGCCTCAATATGTCTTACCATTTCTGCAACCTGGCAGACTTCTCAAGGTATGGATATTCTTTTTCTGTTGAACCCTCTTTGGAAATGACTAAAGAATTGTAAGTTTCATGTGAAGTGATACTGATTTTTCTAATTTAGGGAGGTGGTGGATAAAATGTAATTCTAGGCCAGTTATTGATGTCAACATAACTTTTTGAAGCAATAATGTTTAATGTGACTTGTGTTATTGAAACAATTTGTCAGGAAATTATTGAATGTTAACCATTGGACTGATTCTTTAATTTCATATTGAAATTGTTTACCAAATTTGTCTGTTGTCATGCATCTTGCTTTCTCAGAGTGAAGATAATACATCAATGCTTGTTCTATTTTAAATGAAAAATAATTCAGAGCCCTGTAAGTTAAATTTTTTCTTTTGTTTTCAGGTGAAAAATGGAGAAGATGACTTTGGATGGGGTGCTGTTGTCAATGTACAGAAGAAAGCTAATCAGAGTAAAGTGAGTAAAATTTATTTCTGATTTAAAAGTTACTCCTTGGATCCTCTTTCTACCGAAAGTTTTTGTAGAGTGCAATTTAAAGGTTCAAAATGCTCAGCAATCTTTTCAAATAAAAATCTTTGAAAAAAGTTACTTAGGAAGATTTTGACAATATTGCTTCTTGTAAACATAAAAATGATTTAAATATCAAAAAATTATTTTAATGTGATATTGAACTCTTCAGAAAAGATAAGAAAAAAAAATTAGAATTCTTGAGAATATTAAGATCACTTCATTAAATTCATATTTTTGGACAGTCAAAACTAAATTGTTTTTGTTGGTTATTTGATATTCTAGCAAATAAGATTTTGCTTACTGTTAATTTTCAACTTGTGTGAATGTTGTTTTTGTTTTTAAGTCTGAAGCTGAAGTTCAATATGTTTGTGAGGTTCTACTCCACCTGAGCCCTGAGACTGCACATGCCAGCAGTAGTGCATCAATCAAACCTTGTCCTCCAGGCAAAAAAGGGGAAATGCAGGTAAACTGATTCTTCTTGCTTAAAGTATCATGGGTCTTCTGGCTAAAAAGAATGTTTCCTTCAATCAGGGCCTATTTTCAGGTTTCTTTTGCCTCTTAAAGTATTGCAACTCTTGATTAATACTTTTTTTTTTTCTTTTACCAGAAATAAAAATTATGTAGATATCCTAGCGGAACATTTTTAATTTTTTGAAGACGTTTTCACTTTATAAATATATTAGTTTTTGTTTTTGTAGGCAGTGATTTTTGTAATGCATCTGCATTATTTAAACTTTGGCTATTGTAATCCTCTTTGTTACAATAGCAATGTTTTGCCCACTGGACCGTTTAAGTCTTCATCAGGTCCACATTGATCCAGGGAAATTTACTTTTTTTTTTTTTTTTTTTTTTTTTTTTTAATGTTTACCATGTACAAGGCCTGAGGGCTACTCAGAGTAGAGGGTCACTGAAGACACTCATCGAATAAGTGTTAAAAATAAGGGGATGCAGTTAATAGATATGTGTCAAAGACAACTGTTAACAATAGACTTGATTGCAGTTCTTGGGAAGAAGCTATCCATGTGGAACTTAAACTCAACTATATGTGGTGTGGTAGTCTAGAGTTTGGGGAATTTTCATGAAAATATTGATAGTAGCAATGTTTTGGCTGTAGAAATGGGGTTGCAAAATGTATGTATATAAAAAAAGAGAAAAAAAAAATTTCATCACCCATACAACAGATATGGCAGCAGTACTCCATTCTAGGCCTGATTTGGCTCCTGTAAATATAGATCATAGCAGGAGTTGCTGGGTATTTACTGTGTTGCAGTAGATGGAACCAACCATTTTTCCAGCATCTTTAGCAATGGATTGTATATAAAAGTTCCACTTGAGGTTTGAGGTAAGCTTAAGTCCCAATAGGCAGTGAAGGCAAGGGTGCTCCTTGGAGCAACACCCGTTCATTGTGATGGATGGAAACTCAGAGCCACCTTGGTGATGATTGAACATTACAAGTTTGGTTTTTGAGGTATTGAATGTGACCAACCAGTTTTTCCTCCATTGAGATTTTTAAAACTAGGTCAGAGGAGAGATCAGTAACCAGGCTCTGGTTATCTAGATTTTTGGATGTGAACCTTGTAGTATTATCTGCATAGATATTCACAATAAATCTGAGTATGCTCTTATGCAGATCATTAATATCAAGTGGGTAGAAGGTTGGACCATTAGATGAACCTTTTGGGTCACCTGCATTGATCACATGTGCCTCAGAGAACTGGTCATTAACAACTACGTTCATGTCCTTATTAGAAATGACTTGATAATTGAGAAAACTCTTCTAGTAATTTCATGGCTGGATAGCTTGTGTAGTAGTAACCCTGTAGGCCACACTGAAATCAATGGCCTTACATATATCTAATCTGATTATCCTCATGATGTGTTTATTGTCTAATGCCTCAATGTTTCTGTAATAACAACTTTTTTGTTGATTATAGCATTAAAGAGTTTGCTGATGACATTGAAGAGACTGTTGGGCTGATATTGAAGTTGGGATGGGCACTCACCCACATTACTTGGGAAGGATTTTTCCTTTAGGCAACTGTTGAACAATTTTGTTCAGATTAAAGATAACTCAGCTAATATTCCTAAGGACAACCACTGGGATTTAAGACTTGAGACTTCTTGGGCCATAATAGAAATATTACTAAGTTTGTTCTCTGTGAGGTGGGAAAAGTCAGGAAGAGTATGTCCCTTGTCATCTAACATGAAGGCAAAGATCTTTGTGAAGGGCTGGCTTATATTGTTACAAGACCATGCTACCGTGAATTTTGAACTACTTACTCCAGCTCATGGTCTTTGACAATTTTGCTTTAAGCAGGCACCTCACTAAGCACTTAATAAATAAGGCCTTGTGTCAGAATTATTTCAACAAATATTTTCCCAATTAACTGGTTTAGATTTTTTTGATTAATTCTCTCATTCCATGAGAAAACCAAATAAAACTTTTTTTCCCCTGCCCGTTCACTTTTCTATCACGATGTACAATCTAGTCTTTTGCCCTGTTGTAGGTTGTCCCTATCTTGGTACACTTGATTCAATCCATCAGTTCTGTTCGACTTTATATACCAAAGGATTTACGATCACCAGACAGCAGACTAAGTGTACTGAAATCTATTCAGGTAAATAAAGATGATCATTTATTCAGTTTTCCTTTTATTACCTTACTTGCAAATGTTGAGTATGAGTTGTCCCTCTTAACAACTTGTTTGGTATTCGTCTTGGGAGCTGACACTAGCAATATGGACTGACCTCATTGATACACAAATTAGCTGCTTATTAATTATATTTTAAATATTCAGAAAATGTTGTATATATACACATATGCACACATTATTTTATTTATTTTTAAAAACTTTACATGTTTGCAAAAATAAATACTGTTAATCATTTGTTGTTCTGCCTTTTAAGTAATATAAAAACATTTCCCTATGTGAATTTTTGTTACTGTTAAACTGATTAGAATTTACTTTAAAATAATACAATTTATGCAAAAATTAACTTTTGTATATTTCAAAGATAAACAAAAATGCCAATTGAAACTTACAATTTATATAAAGTCATTAATTAAGCCTTTTTAATTTTGCACGTTTTTTTGTTGTTTTTTTTCTAGGAAGTTTTACGTAGGTTTTCTGGTGCCCTCCCACTCTTAGATCCAATTGATGACATGGGAATCAGAGAAAAAGGCTTAAAAGAAGTAATCAAGGTAAACATTGTGTGTTTTTTTTTTTTTTTTTTTCTCCTCTCTATCTCAGATGTTTCTCTCCATTTTATTTCTAATTTCCATCCTGGGTATGACAATAAACTACATCTGCGTCCGGGGTAAGACGATAAACTGCGTCCAACAGCAAGGCCTCTGATCAGGAGGCTTTGATGAGCGTGGAACCACCTCTTAATTGCTGGTATTCCCAGGTCCACCCTGACCCGGGGTGGTAGCACCTGTTAGGGTCCCACCTATGGGCAAATAGTTAACTAAGGTAAAAAAATGTTGTTGGCATTAAATGACCCATTGAGGTTGATATGCCATAAAACAAACCAAACCAATTATTTCTAATTTGGTTTGAATTCTCAGATAAAGTATTTTCTTGATTCTTTTTTTATTATTATTATTAATCTCATTGTTGCCTTTTTATCATAAAATTCTAGATCAAATACCTTTTGACCATTGGTTGTGTGAAGATTGACTGAATGTCTCTTATTGAACTCTTATCCTATATCTTAGTGACAGAAGTCTAAAGCTTAGAAATATGACTTGATTTCAGCCTTGCATATATATATATATATATATCCATTAGGCTTCCATCATTGAATTGGTTCAGGTTTTATTTTTAAAAAGATGGCTTTCCAGGATACAAGATGTGAGTTTGTCTTACTTGAAGCTATTTTTTATTCACACTACTTGATGAATAGACAGAAAGTACTTAACCAAAAATACTGTGCTAAAAAGAAAAGAAAAACTAATAAAAAGATAGCTAATTTCTTATTAGTCAAGAGATGTTTTCAGTTTTACCTCATCAATTTCTGACAATATTGAGGATATCCTGTCTTATGGTTGAGATAAGTGGTTGTTCTCCCTTTCATATGGCCTTGTGCCAGGTTAAGTTTAAGAGATAATAATAAAGAAAATCTCTTATCAAAATTTTTTTATTTTTTCAGAAAATTGAAGCTTTTGAACACAGACTTTATTCACATCCTCTGCACAAAGATCCACAACTTCAGGAACTTTATTCACTCTACGAACGCAAAGCTAAGGTATGTTTTAAAAAAAAAAATTTTTTTTAAGCTTTCAAAGTCATTGAAAATATTTCATGTTAATTTTGTATAATTAGAATGAAATCAATTTCTCTGTGTGTGCGTGTGTATATATATATATATATATATATATATATATATATATATATATATATATATATTCAACTTTTTTTCCCCTCATTCTTTTACTGTCTTCAAATTTTCTGAATAGTTAATCTCCTCATTATGTGATATGGAACTTTGATCTCAAATATTTATTGATTACTAATCATGCATTTTAAAGGAACACATTGATTTGGTATTTGACATTCTGAGATGTCAATTCTATGCACAGTTCAAAAGCAATTACATGGCCTTGTTGGTGATGAATTATTTTTCCACAGATGGAACCTTATTACTATATTATTAATGTTCAAATGAGCTACATATCTTAGCCGTGAAGGTCTGAACTGGTGGAACTAAGTCCTGCCACATACACGTGGTTGTGAGAAAGTTGCATTCAGACAGCAGCTTTTCTAGAACTGTCAATTTTGTGGAACAGGCACCCAAGAGGATGCTTCCCTGACTACTGCAATCTTAACTTCAAGTCTAGGTCAACCAATTTTCTATCCTACACATCCTTATAATGTGTACCTCTTTCTCTCCCCCTGCTTTATGTCCTTACAACAATCTCCTTCAGTAGCCATCTAACTTGAGTGGCTCTTGGGAGATGTTTGGATGAACAATACTTAAAAAAATTGAATTTCATCATATTTACTTAAAAATTAATATTTGTAATTAAACAAATCTTTCTAAATTAGTAATTCTATTGTCTGCAGATTCAGTGCTGAATGCATTTCACAAGATATGAAATGATCTAAAATTATGGCTGGCAAATACATTTGATATTCTCATTTTTACCCTTTGACTATAAACAAAAAAAAAACATTGTTCCTCTTTGTCTCTAAAAGAGCTAGCAAAATGATTGGCTTCTTTACTCATCATAGATTAATTTACATTATGTAAAAACTATGTCCTGCAATTCCTAAATTCTGATATTTCTTTCGTCTTTGCAGATTGCTCAGGATATCAAATCCATTAAAGTAGGTTTGAAAAAGAAAAAGTCTTTACTGCAAATGGATGAACTGAAATGTCGTAAACGTGTCTTAAGACGACTTGGCTATGCCACTTCTTCTGATGTCATTGAAATGAAAGGAAGAGTGGCATGTGAGATTGACAGGTCAGTGAGCAACTCTTTTTTTTTTTTTTTTTTTTTTTTTTAGTCTAAATAACTATTAAAATATAATCTAATATTGCTTAACATGGTAATATGCACTGGTAAAATTAGTAAGAATTCCTCTCTTTAAAATATCTCCCAAACATAGGGGGGAAAAAAAAAAAGTGAAAAATTATTTAAAAGTACAGGGAAGTTTTATGAATGCTGGTCAAAATCCTTTTTCCCTTCATTATCAAAGGACAGTATCTCTCTTTCATTTTCTACTTTAATAGATGATTGATTCGATTTCAATTCTTCAAAAATTTCATGTCCTGAATATGACAATAAACTACATCTGGCAGCAAGGCCTCTGATCAGGAGGTTTTGAGGAGTGTGGAACCATCGCTTAATTGCTGGTATTGCTTAGTCCACCTAAATGCGGTGTGGTAGCACCTGTAAGGATCCTAGCTATGGGCAAATAGTTAATCCCAAACTGGGGTCAAAACATTATAAAAACATAAAAATAGGTTTTAATACAAGAAATACTTTGTAAAAAAAAAAATCTTGTCAGCATTAAATAGCCCATAGGTTGATATGTCATAAAACAAACCAATCAAAAATTTCACATATTTTAAAAAATAGAATGTCTTTGTTTTTATTTCAAGTTTCATAGAAAATATCTATGCAGTTTAACCATAAGGTAATGATTGATAATGAACATTTAAAGCTCATTGGTTGATTTTCCAATTACATCATTTTCCAGATATAAGAATTGTAGTTATTAATATTGCCTCATAATTAAAAAAAGAAAAACGTTAAGTGTCTTTGATATTTGTGCCTAGAACATAGATTCAGCCATGAGCGACTCTCTTTCTATTTCCAATTTGTCTCTTTTCTCTTTCTTTTAATATTTTGAACTTAAACCATCATTATAAATATTAATTTTATTCTTATTGTCTTTTTTTTTTTCTTTGCAGTGGGCAAGAGTTGCTTTTAACTGAACTTTTATTTAATGGTGTCTTCAACAATCTGACAGTCCAACAAAGCTGTGCTCTCCTCAGTTGTTTTGTCTGCCAAGAAAAATCTTCAGAATGGCCAAAACTCACAGAAACTCTTGGTGGGCCACTTCGAATTATGCAGGTAGGTGAAAGCAAATATTCCTGTTTCAGAAAAACAATGTTACAAGAAATTAATTTTGACTTTTCTTTTCTCAGATTTTGTTTATTTTTTCTACATGTTTTCTTTCTTTCTCTCTCGCTTTCTCTTGTTTCAGACAAAGTTCAGAAATGGTGGCAAGTTGAAGACAAGTTACTTAGTTTTATCTATTTCTCTCTGTATATAATGAAACAAAGGGGTAAATAAATGATCAGTGGATTATTTAACTTTGTTTTCACATGTGTTATTTTAATAGACAATATGGAAAAACTAGAAATTCAATCCAACCAGCAGACATAGTTGACAAAGGATAAAGATTGATGAGTTTTATTTGCCAAGGGATCAGCGTAAATGGATTCATTCGTAGAATTCTAAATTTCATAAATCTAATTTAAGTGTGAAAAAAGGTGGACAGTTTAAAGAATCATTTAGATGAAAAGCTAAAAATTTAGAATAAAGAATACTTAGTTGACTTGAAAGAAATGAAGACTGTAGAAATGATATGAAAAGCTTTGCATTGTGTATTAGCATTTTTTGAGAATAAGCATATACATGCGTGCACACACTAATTTATTTATAGATGTTTCTTAAGTGTATTGTTTGCATTGTCCTTGAAGTACATTCAATACCTTTTGTGAGAAATGAAAATTGTTTGTTTTCAACCAAATTTTTGTCATCTCCATTGTACAAATTTCTAATTTAAATGTTGGAAATATTGTGGGAATTGTAATTAAAAAAAAAAAAAAGATTCTCATCATGAAAGATGAAATTTTTCTCTGTTAAGGTTTTTTTTTTTTTTTTTTTTTTTTTTCTTCCATTAAACATTCAAGTTGCCTTTATTCAAAAAAATCTTCCCAAGTTCATGCTTGTAAAATCCCTAAGCAGCAAGAATTTTATAAATACAATACTGGGTGTTTTTTTTTTTTTTTTTTTTTAAGATTTGGCCAATGTTTTCTGTTTGCATTTCTGGAATGATTTACACTCAGACTATTGTTCTCATCTTTGTTATTATGACCAATGTTTTGGTGCTCTGTGTATAATTTAAGTACCTCCATGAAATCACTAAAAAAAAAAAAAGTGTAGCTTGTTGAAAAAGACGCCAACCTTGCTGAAAACAAAATTTTATTGTCTAAATGCTTATGTTATTATTAAGAGGAAAGACCAAAGTTTTTTTTTGTTTTTTTTTTTTTTTAATTATTTTTAAAAAATTTTCTTCTTTTTTTTTTTTTTTTTTTTTTTTAGAACATTCTAAATTTTGATTTAAAAAAAAAAAAAAAAAAAAAAAACCTTGTTTCTCTTTGTATCACCAGAACTAGTAAAATAACAGACAATTTTTAGCATGTTTTTTTGGTATCACACACATTAATTTGAAAAATCTTGCAAAAATAAAAATAATTGTCAGATGTTAATGAAACTTTCAGGTACTATTCCCAGATGATCGAAATTATTATAAATATGTTTTTTTTGTTTTTTTTTTTTTATTAAAGTCATGGCAGATATTTTTTTATATTTATCCTCCCCCCAACTAATTTATGAAAATGCTAGAAATTCAATCGCATCGGGTTTAGTGATTACAATAGTTAAAAGCACAAGGCTTTGAGGAATGCAAATCATGTTTTTTTTGTTTTAATTAGACACTACCTGAAAATCAGCTCTGAATTGTAGCATACAAAACTCAATAAAACAAATATATTATTTAATTTCAAATGCTTTTAGTTGTTTTTATGAATATGGACAATATCTTATGAAAACGAAATTTTTTTCGATGAAAAATGAATTTTTAATACAATTATTTGTTATTTTTTAATTATAATAGATTTTACATTTAAGTTGTTAAAATATTATAAAATTAGTTAAAAGCCACATCAGGTTTCCTAAGTCTCTTTATGAGATAGATGTTTTTTTTAGTGTGTTGTAAATTGTATCATTTTGACTAATCAGAAGATCCGCAGTAATTCAGAAATGTAATTTTGTGTTTATACTCAGGCTGTAATTCTAAAGTACAGAAGACCAACCAGAATACAATTAAGTTGCGTTATTTGAGTTAAGCATTGTTCTCCGCTGTTAAGGCCTTTACTTTTGCAAAAAAACATGTGGAGAAGTTAATTTGATTTTTCAATTTCAACTGAGAAGGGTACCTACAAGTATCAGTATCATCTTATGAAATTTATATGATCTTATTTTTATATTAATCTCAGTTATGACATTTTTTCCATAAGTGAAATATCAAAATTAATAATAAAATGAATGGAAATACAAATAACACAGTAAAATGTAATAAATGTACATAAAATTATAGTATTTTATGTACACTTCTGATAAAATTTCATAAGAAAGGTACCTATAAATTAATTAGATACCTTTCTTATGAAATTTAATCTCACTCTTGAGTCTTATTTTAATTTCTTTATAATATATTTTCCATAAAGCATCGTAAACATAAATGTGAAAGCTAAGTACAAAAGAAAAAAAATTAGAGCGCTGAAAATTTTCGTTAATAATAAAGAGGTAAATAATTTGTTCACTTAAATGTAAATTATTTCACATTTCTCCTTCCATAGAACAAATTATCCTCATGGAATCCATCAATATGTCATTCATCACCTGTCAAGCCTAGCAAAAGTTTATGACCTGCTTTGTTTTATTTTCAAATTACATCTTTTCGGCACAATTTCAGACGTGCTAGGAACAATTAAAAAAAATGTAAAAAAATACCCAAAAATATTTTGATCTTTTGTCTTAGTAATAACATAAACATTTAGACGATAAAATTTTGTTTTCATCAAGTTTGGCGTCTTTTTCACCATGCTATGCTCTCTTTTTCTTTTTTTTTTTTTTTTTTTTTTTTTTTCTTAGCGATCTCGTGGAGGTACCACCTATGTATAATTCATATTTATTCTCAAGATTGTTAATACAATATTCACTTGTAAACAAAAGAGTTCTTATATAATTAAAAAATGTTTTGGCTTTAAATAACCCAGAAATGGTTGAGAAGCTGTAAAATAAAATGACTCAATCTGGAAAATGTTGAGATAAATTTAAATTGAATCATTTAATCTTGTTCTACTTACCATGTCTCAAGACATTTTGCCTTGTTCTTATTTAGTACTATTTCATTATTGCTTTCCCATTTCCACTGAAAAATGTTTTGGCTTTAAATTACCTTAAAAAAAGTTGATAAGCCATAAAAAAACAAATCGGTCAATCACTATGTTCCACTGAGTTTAAATTTGTGCAGACTAAACACTAATAACAAAAATGAGGACTGTAAAGAGGTCATTTTTTGTAATGACTGCACCTTTATTAATAATAATAGTGTTAGCCAAATGCTATAAGTATGAATAGAACATTTGTATTTAGAGGAGAAAGAAAAAAATTGTTTTTAAGATTCTTGGGTTGCCATGAAATCATATTGCACTACCTCAAGTTGCCTTATTAAACTTGTTCATTTCGAGGATTATATTCCAAGTATGAGTAACGTGAATGTTTTCTGGCCAAAAACTTTTGAGTTAATTTTATTTTGTTCTCTGTTTGTAGGATACAGCCAGAAGAATAGCAAGAGTAAGCAAAGAAGCGAAAATTGAAATGGATGAAGAACTTTATGTGGATTCTTTTAAGCCTCACATGATGGATGTGGTTAATGCTTGGTGCAACGGAGCTGAATTTGCTCAGATTTGCAAAATGACTGACATTTTTGAAGGTAAAATCACTTTTGAGTTTTTCTCATTGCAACCAAATTGGGACAGAAGATTCACTTCAATTCTACAATGAGTGTACAGTCCAAATATTCCTACAAAATATCAATTATCTGATTACAGTTGAAAAATTTATCAATATTTGTACCTATTTTAAAGAGAAAAGAAAAATTACATATTTTGTTTAATTAATAAAGGTTTGAAATTTCCTGATTAGTTTCCATTTCTGTGGATATTCCCCCTCCCCCCTCAGATGCATGCAGTAAAATGAGATTTAAAAATGTGCATTAAACAGTGAAAAATTCATGTTGAAAGTATCTCTCTTTATTTTTGCCAAAAGGAAACGTGATCCGAATTATGCGCAGATTGGAAGAAATGCTTCGACAAATGTGCCAAGCTTCCAAAGCTATTGGCAACACAGAATTAGAAACAAAATTCTCAGAAGGTAAAGAACTTCTATTCTGCTCTTTGGAAATATTTCTCACTTTTTTTATTTGACTGCTGCAAATTATATGTAAACACACACACACACACACGTGTTGAAAAAGTTTTTGGCTTGACCCACTTACCAAAATCTAACAAAACATTTTTTTCTCCTTCCTGAGTTGGTCAAGAACTGAACTTTTCAAGAACCCTGTGTGTACACAGATCCCATGTTTTCTCCAATCATCATTCTTAATGAAAATCCAAGCTCTGAATGTTTGAGTCTCAAGTTCATACAAGACATACAGTCCATCACTAAAGATTCTGGTAAAATGATTGCCTCACTCTGTTTCTCCAGGAAGGACCTGATTCCTGACTCCTTCTGCCATACTTTATCTTTTACAAGTCAGATTAATTTTTTTAAAAAATTGAGCAATCCTTACTTTCCAGTCTTGTTCATAATCATTTATGTGGACTTGTGGCAAGAAGACTTAATTTTTCACTCTTGCATCATATCACTATTCTATTGCTATTTCCATGGCAAATGTTCAAATGAACTACATTCTTTAGTTCCACTTGTTCAGACCTTTACATCTAAGTCATGAGACTTCCATGGGGTTGAATCATCCTCATTTCCTCTCTACTCCAAATGTAAAAAGGAAAATTTGCTGAAACAACTTTTCTCAAGAACTGCTACTTCCCGGAACAATACAATCTTAACCTCTTCAAGTTAAAGATCAAACATTATCTATCCTCCTTATCCTCATAATCTTTACTTCCTACCACCTCTTATTCATATCATCACTGTTTCTACTATAACCCTCTATCTTGAGTGGCTCTCAAACCAATTTCGTGAATTTTAATAATAAAATATATAAGTTGATCAGTCTTCCTCATTAATGAAATGTTTTGTTATGATAACAAGTGGTATTACCATAATAAAAGAATCTCTCATTAGTAAGTAGGGGAGATCAGTATGTTAATATATATCTTTTTATTTCTTAACTTTCTTTAGAGATTTTTACTGAGTTAAAAAGCAAAGTTTTTTTTGCAAAAATTGTGTAGATACAAATCTTTTATTATCAAAGCAGAAAATATAACCACTACAATTGCAAAATTACTTAAATATGTCTGTCATTTTTGTTTCTACAGGTAAGCATGCACACAATCGTATTAACATCCTGATCTCCCATGCATACTCAAAGTATACCTTTATTATAGTAATACAAAGCATGTTAATTTATTACTGACAATGATTATTAAGAGGATTTTGTTGCCACTGCCTAAATGAATATTTTTTTCTTTAATCATTTTCTGATTCTCCTTTTGTCACACAACATGAATATGGAATAATTAGAAAAAAAAAAATTACATTGTTTTTAATAACTGATGGAATGTAACTTTGATTGTATGGCATTTTTCTTAAAAACCATTGATGTAAAAAGATTAATATTTTGTTAGATTTTAAGATAAGGCTGTGATTATTCAAACAATTGAATGACTAATATTGGTCATTAGACATGGAAGACTTGTCAAAGGTTCCTATGCTACTTTTTTGTACATTCAAACTTAATCTATTTTAACCTTTTTTGTGTAAATTGTTTTCTCTTTGGGAGAGATCTGCTTATTGCAATGGCATTCATTTGCAGCCAACTGAAACATTGTTATTGTAAGACTGACAATACAAAAAACAGACATTGATAATGTTAATATGTAGGGTTTTTGGTGCTAAAGTGGTTTCTATGGAAGTCACTAAGTGGCATTAGTGTTAACAGTCATATTGGGACATGGAATGAGAGAATTCTAGTTTGTTGTGCACTGAAAATAATACAATCGGCAATTAATTTCATTATTTGAAAACTGTTTATGTAAAAATTCACTTCAAAATTTTTTTTTTTTCTATATGTTGTAAATATACGTTTAATTTCTCACCTTTTTTTTTCAGGAATTGGAAAAATCAAAAGGGACATAGTCTTTGCTGCCAGCTTGTACTTATAGAATTCAATTCTTAATTCATTGTAAATAACATTTGAATATCAAAATTTTTATTTCTGAATTAAAAAAAAAAAAAAATCCATTTTCTGCTCCCAAATTAGAATCTTTTTTTATTTTCTCTTGAATTTCAACTTCAGAGATACCAGATTGTCAACAAAAAAATCATCTGAAGCCATTATTGGGAGTAAATGCATTAAAGGAAAATTTACATTGCCTAAAAAAAGATCCATAATGCATCATTGTAAACAAAATTTTTAATATAATTCTCTGATGTTAATTCACCTGATATTGTCCTGTGATGATTTAATGTTTTGTATTTTGTGAGAAATTTAGCTTTTATAAAAAAACAGTAAAAATGATTCAGATGTGAAGTGACTTTAGTTTTTAAGATACAAACTCCATTTTGTTTTCATAGTGCAAAGAATCAATTGAAACCAACTAACATTAGTAAAAAGTATGAAATGTCAGCCCCTTTCAAATATATCAGTAAGTGCTGAAAAGTTCTGTTAGACTGAGAAACCTTCCTGGGGGGGGGGGGATCTGATGACAGTTGGGTTGAGAATTTTTCAGCACTATTTGGTATAAATCTATTTTCTAGAAAAACTATTTTTGTTATGATGCTAGATTTTCTGATAAAGAACTTTTATTACCATGGTGCTAACCTTTTTGATTTTCCAAATCAAATGCTTCCTAAGAATACAATACTTTTCTTGTTATCCTCAGTTTCATGTAGCTGCAGTCAACCCCAGAAAATAATGAACAAAATTCACTTATTAACCCATGTCCTTTGGGGATCAGTTTAAGCTTCTGCCTTTTTTTTTTTTTTTGCATATAACTAGTTTTAATTATAAACTGTCATTTTGGAAAATGAAAATTACACTAAAATATATTGGAAAATTTCCATGTTTTCATCTGGAATCAGGAAAAAATGAACTTTAAGCAAAACAGTCACAATATGAGTTGCATTTGTTTAAAGTGATGCCAGAAAGATTTGGATGGATTAATGATCCCAAATCATCAGTGATGCCGGCAATTCAGCTACTACAAAGTGAAGTTGAAAAGTGTTCCTTGAAGTGAAAAAGACAAGTTCACAACTTAATAAGGACAGGAAAAAAAAAAAGAAATAATATCATGCTTGGGTGATGATCTATAAGAACAAATCTTCTGTCATAGAAATTTATTGAACAATATTTTAATAACAGTTCTATTTTATTATTTGTTATTAATCTCTTATTGTGCCTAATTTATAAATTAAACTTTATCATAGGTAAGTAATATATATGGAAATCATTATATATATATTAGTGACGGGTATTTACTAGGAACTTGAAACCTGGCCCTTGTAGATAAGTGGAGGCATTGTAATAAAGACCATCAAAGGAAAGGGGAGTGTGTAAATAATAACAACTTGCTAATAGAAGGAAAATCTTTTCATTTAACTTTGCATTCATTTATGAATTGGAAATCGTGCACATTATTCAATGAAAGTCAATGCACATGCAGTTTGTTCATTCATTTTTGATTGTTAAATATGCATTGACCATTGGTAACTTTTAATGTATTCTATTGTTAATCATGAGTCAAGCAAGTGACTAACATACTTTTCCACAGACATGGAAAATAAAATCTTCCAGCTTTCTTTATGGCCCTCACGAAGGTCATAACCTCAGTTCACTATCAGATGTCTTATTAGGCCAAATCGACTTTTACAGATTTTTCCGCACTCTTCACCTATCAGCTGATTGATATGGAGGAATACCTCATAATTGATTAATGGTGTCAGCATGACTATACCGATGACTGATTAGGTCTTCATTTGAGACACTCACCCACATTCTCCACAAACTGTGACACAATTGAATCAATATCACCACCTTTTCTATCTGCTCTCTTTGTTTTAGCCTAGGCATTCGTGTCTTGATAGGAACCACTATACACCATCTTTCACTACCTACTTCTATCACATGCCACCATTTTTGGGGATCATCAATTTTACATAGTGCTAGTAAATCCTTGACACAATCTTGAGATGTTTCCCCAACCCAGGTCATGCTGTGAACAGGAACTAACTGCTTAGAGATGACATAACAAAGCTTTATAATGGGATCCAGCCAATGGTCGGTGAATGTGTGTTTCAGTGCTGGTTGCATTCGCATTCTCTAAGATTTCTGTGTCTATACCTGGGTAGTGGCCTTGTCTGGACATTTATTTCATGAAATTACAAGATGATAATTTGGAGGGACTACTAATTAGATAATAATTATTAAAATTTTCGTCTGGTTGAATGATTAAGAAAAAAAGAAAAGTGTCAAAAACTATGCTTTAAGATAGAATAAATTTAAGAACAGTTCCAAGGCGAATTGAGCCCAGAATTTACTAGGCAAAATTCAGTAAAATTGAGCAAAACCAAGGTTCCAGAAGCCTAGCAACTTCCCACTGATAAGACATGATTAATGTGCTGTCCTGAGAAATTAGATTAAAAAATCTATTTACATTATACTATCTGTCCAAAACGTGTGTGGTCACAAAAGAATGATCTAAATTATTCTAGACAAAGATTAAAACTTTTGTGTGTGTGGTTTGCTCAGGTCACATTTCCTGTGGCTGGAAGGAAAACAGATTCATCTGGGATTGCTCATAAGACAGTCATTGCTAATAACCATACCTGCAATTTCCGGGCTGCATCAAAAACATGACAGGATTAAGTGAGAATTGAAGACTTGAGGAAGTCAGTTGACTGGTTATTACTCTGAAAAATAGATTCACCAGGCTGGTTTTTCAATGTTTCTGACTAGATTTCCCAGATCCCCATCCTGCAGTAGAGAACTCGATTCTGCAATAGATAATAGGGAAATTCAACAAGTTTTTCTTTATATTCAATAAACATGTTAGTGTTATCAACAGTGTTGTGGATTTGGTTGAAGGAGCCTGATGTGCACTTTGATGCAAGTAGACGAAAGTTGCCACAGACATGAATTACGAAATCTTGTCTGTGGTTCACAACATACACAGAGGGAGTTCACTCTAGACTTCACCATCAAACCCAATATCATAAGATATTGGGAAGCCTGAATCGACCCTATCAAGACAGTACAACTGAGGGGGAAAAGAAAGCCAGATCACCCATAAAGTCAGCATTACTCAATGCAGCTAGCAACATATTGATTGAATAAGGGGAAGGGTAGAAGAAACAAAGCTAAGAGATGGGGAGGTGTAGTTAGAGTTGTCAATAATAAGGGGTATGGCTGGGGTGTGGGTTATTTGGTGGATACTTAGAATTGATCTTAATCAGCATCTCTGGTGTTTCAGATTATCTTGTACATCCCCAATGTTTCACATTATTACAGGAGATATGTTAGCACACATGGATTATACATGTTGAGCTTAATTCTCTTTTCCATACCTACTGCGACCACACTTTCTAGGCAAAGGAAACATTTGTTTAATATTTATTTTTTTTTTTTTAAAGCTATCTTATCTAGTTAACAAACCATTAATTATGCTTCCCAGGGAAGGTAAATCTCGATGACCATCAACCTAAATGGACAGATTGGTTTATACTGTACTTGGGGTGGGCTAGGACATCACTACTGGATTGTCTAAACTGAACATAGGTTGAATGCTCTGCATACTTCCAAAAGCATATGTATAAAGCACTGCATATCAGTTTCTGTATGTGCAACCAAGTTGCAGTCATCTGCGTAAAAGAGATCATGAATGGACACTGAGTGAACATCAGAGAGCAAAAATAGTGCATATTGAAAAGTTTCTTTGGTTGCAGATTTCAAATGTATCACTGACCACAATAGAAAAGAAGATGAACAGTGTTGGCACAAGCAAGTATTAGTTTCGTTCTTCAAAGCTTCCATAAGTGTACTTCATTGTGATCTCAAAGAGGTAATTCTGGCTATTTTCAAACTAAACACTTTATACATCAAACTACAGATTTTTCTGCTGATTTTCCTGCCAGTTGCAATGCTGCATTTCTGCTACAAGATTGGACTGCCAGGAATCCTGCATGGAGTGTGGGGCTTATTACGCATCAGCTTTTGATTGTTTCAATGCCTCACTAATTTGGTGTATTTAATCTTTTGATAAGTAGGAGTAGATAGGTTTGCCTATAGTCCAGTTCACACTCTTCCCCAGTCTTTTTAACAGGAGTAGAGGTTTATCCCTTGTTTCCTGTTTAGGATTGGGTTTCTGATTCCTTCCAAAGTCTACTTCCACACTATTCTTCTAACATCTCCAACTGACCTGAGATGTTATTCACTAATTAAATTTTCACCTCTTCAAGTCCAGAATTAGCTGTTATCTTTCCTGTATAGACACCAAGAACTTCACTCCTTGCCTTTTCTTAAGCTCATATGACACTGCATGGTAACCCTCTACCTTGAGTGGCTCTTGGGCCTTCTGTTGGGTGAACATTAATTAAAAAAATATATTTCTGCTTTGTTTGTTGTTTTTGTTTGCAACAGTGCCAATTTTGCAACATTATGTTTGCCCTAAAACAAATATCAAATTTGACAATCGTTAGCATTTTTTATGTAGTATTTATAAACATGGTATCCGTTAATGAATTTATCTCACCCTGACATGGTGTATTTGCAAAACTTGAAGTTCGAAGATCAATCGTGAATTCTTCTTTATCTATTGTTTCTCTTTTCTTTCTTTTCTTTTTTTTTTTTTTTTTTTTTTTTTTTTTTTAAATATTGAACACTTTCTTTACAAAAATCAGCAACATGTTAAACTCTAGAAATTTACTGGACCACATGTTTTGTTAGGCATTAATAAACTGTATTATTACAAAAATGTTAATGAATAGATTATGGTTTGGAAAGACAAATAGATCTTTTATCATGTATTACACTGCGTTATGTCAATGTTAGTATTAAGCAATTAACCATCTTTCCAAAATCCCAAAATAATGAGAGGGTTCTAAAAAGTTTTCAGCCTGACCAATTTCTTAAAAATCTGGCCTAATTCCCCCCCTTTTATTTATTCATAATAATTTATTCATAATAATCGTGATGTCAACTATTTGTTAAATTTGAATGCAATATTTGCAAAGAGCAAATCATTTCCATGTGGCTCAATTTAAAAGAATAGCAGATTTTTTAAAACTTCACACTGATTATTCCAAACACAGCCAGTACATTTCATTGTTGAAATATCCATTTAATAAATCTACTTGTAAGTCCTTTGGAAATTCCAGGAGGTACTTTTGCAGTTTAAGCACATACACATGTACATATAAGATTGGATATTGAGGTCAACATCTGGTAGTGATAATTTGTTTCATGCTTAAACACAATCGTCAGGCCAAGAAACTTTGGAATAAGGTTAGTAAATATGAAAATATTTTTGATACATACAAATGTTTAAGTCTATTACTTATATTTTGCAATTGTCTGACTCCAGGAAAAGAGCAATAGTTTTTGATTAAATTTGCTTTTAGATCTTATTGTTATTAAATAGCACAATTTTTCATTCCAATTAATGGATCTCTGGTTAAAAAGGTGACTTGTAACCAGAGAATATATTTTGAAGAAGTGTATGCAATGTTACACTGATGATATAAAGTCCAAACAATCACACTAATGTATAGATTTCAGCTTGTTTTTGTTGATAAGCCATAAATGATCGTATAATGGGTCTGGACCTGACGTGGAGAGTGGAAGGCAGCTCAATTGTTTGGAGACTGGTAAATCATGTCAGTGAAGGTCAGAATGGGCCATTTTTTTTTTTTTTTTTTTTTTTTAAAGGTAGTCAAATAATTAACTTGTCTATAGATACACACTCCTACACAAGTCTATATTGAAATGTTTAGTTCAATTGCTCTGTTTGTGCGACAATTGTTGATGCTTGTGCTGGTTGGGGCCTGTCAAGAAGAGCACAAAAGTCTTTTCACTGCTTTGGTCATCTGTCAGATGTGATATGACTGGTGGAGATTCCAGAACCACTAAACTGGGAGGTGTTTCTATTGGTAAAACATTCAACATGGTGAAGAAAATTTACTTAATTCTCTTTCATTTTTCTTTAGACTTAAGGTGAGTGATAGGTTGAGAAAAAGGGAGGGATTTGATATAATAAATAATGGTATAGAATATTGCTCTTTTGGCAATGATCATGGCCAAGTATAACTTAACCCAGCATAAAACGATGTAGCAGAAAAAGAAGATTTTGCTCTGCCCGTTTTCCAGTTGCCTGCTTATTTTGAAAATCAGCATTCAAAATCTTGCCCACCAATCAGGTCAAATCATTTTTTTTGTTTTTGTTTTATAGTTGAGCTCAGGTTTAACAAAAGAGTAAGTGAGAAAAATTTACTGTAAGAAGATTGTGTTGCACTGATCTTCCAAATGGAAAGTGCCTACCTGCCTTGAAAATCAGCATATGAAATCCTTGCTTTTACATGGGATTCAACACTGAGGATTGCTACTGGTAAGAAATACACAACTGCCTCACCACCAAGTAAGCCTAGTGATGGTCATCCCACAACACCTCCCCGGCCCCACCTTATAGATTAGATGTGTCATGAGAACAATCATCATTAAAATACACGTGAAATTAAGTTGGTCTTAAATTATTTTCATTATTTACATTATTCGGACTATTGTCCTCATCTTTGTCACCATATTTATTACAACGTTTCGGCCGTTGTACGCTCCGGCCTTCTTCAGGTGGTTGGTATGTCGAACTGAACCCTTTATTTCGCTCATTGATGAGCAATAACTGAACAGTACTAAAAAATCGTTAGACTGCTCTAGTTCCACGTGCCTTGTTTAATGGATGTCAGTTATCTCCAAAAGTTCACTGCTTTAACTGGGTATTGAACTCACACTCTTTGGATCTAACCACTGTGCCATGTGTCCTTGAGGACATCTGTGTATGAATTTCTGGTTATTATAAACCTAATGTCTCAGCAACCATTAAATTATTTTATCTGAGTTTGAAAGGCTTAGTGTTTTATGACCAACAGTAAAGTTTAAGATCTTCAAAGTAGTCATCTGCTAATCAAAAGGAAATAGAGGAAAAAAATTAAAGTGTTAGTCATTTAGAGTTGAGGAAAGTTCTGATGTCACCGGTTGGTCATATATGTCTAGAAGTAATTTCAAGCCATCTGTGGGCGGGTGTGAGCCATGCATCGTGATCTAGAGATATGCCAAAGGATGATAAGATATCAATCTGGGTAACCCACAGGGAATTCTGAAGTGAACTCGTTATTAATTTACATGGTCAAACGTCCCGTTCCACTGTTTTGTCTAGGGATATCGTTCATTTTTTTTTTTTTTTTTTTTTAGTACTGTTCAGTTATTGCTCTTCCGTGTGAACTCAATAAAACCTTTGATCCAGGGTTGAAGTTCCGAAGTTGTTGTGATTTGAAGAAATCAACTCATTTAGCCCAATTAGCTCTCTGAAGGAGTTAGCTTAAAAGTCAGAACGAAGTGCGGCTTTTAAGCTGTTTCAAAATAAATGGATTCATCATGTTGAGGATTTTTACGTAGAAAAAGAAAGAATAAACTGTTTCAACAGAGGTGCGAAATTACATTCATATGTGTACACCAGTAGAACTGGGATTAGCACATATCATATTGAAAAGATTATATGTGTGTGTGTGTTTATGAGATTGGTTTGATCAGTTCAGGCTTAGGCCTACTACTGGTAACATATAACCTCTTACAACCTGCCGCATGGATGGGTGTTTGATGTCCAAACCAGCATCCTCGCTAGCTTTTCTGCTAGTGAGGAGGGCAGATGAGCTCCTTACAGGAACCGATGCCCCCCATATATATATATATATATATATATATATATATATATATATATAATAATAAACGACGGAGACTTTAATTATCCATTTCGATTATAATTTATTTCGTGAGCACCGAGATGTTCAACTCTTCAGATCGAAATCTCTTCCGTAAATGGAGAAAATACATCGGACGGACATATTGGAATGGTAGCGAGAAGGGAAGGTGAGAGAAAAGAGATTGGTTAGAAAAAGAAAGGGTTATGGGATTAGTAGTTGGGTAGTAGTCGTGAACTTAAATCGGTTCACCCGACCGAGAATTTATTCTAGTAATATATATATATATATATATATATATATATATATATACATTTCATCTGGGTTTTTTAATATTTTTTCTTATCTTTCCTCCCCCCACCATTTCGTTCGTTTCCGTTTAACATTATCATGTAGGTTTCTCGGAAAGAAAGCGTAAACGACTGAGCCCAGCTTGGGCAGATACTACATTGTGGTATATATCTATCGACCCCGACAACCACAAAGGCAAGATGTGACGCATAGAATGAAGGAAATTCGTATTTATCAAATGTGCTATTTTAAAAAGATTAAGGAATACATTTTTTTTTGCGTAGTTAAAATGAACACTTTGAATTATACTGAAGTTTTACAAAGCATGTTCATAATATAGCATTAATTGGATATTAAACACAAATTTACATTTACTTAGAGATACAGTAGAACCCCTGACAACCGAACTAAGAAGGCCTTCCGGATATGAGGAATTGGTTACAAAGTCCGGATATGAGGGGTTATATTTAGATTAAAATAAAAGAACTGAAATCAGGTTTAACATTTATTTTTAATGTTTTATGATAAACAAAATAAGCTAATGGTGAGTGAAATATAACGGAATTGATTTTAAGGAAAAAGAAATAAATTATGTCATTTTAATGAAAATTCATTAAGTATGACACGTATGCAAAACAAATAGTAACGAGGATTTTTTAATCGCTGTTGCATGATGATTCTTACTCTTCTAATGTCATTCTCAACTTTTTCCACATTTCGTTTTGCTTTTGTTCTTGAAATATTTTAAACGAAAGACACTTTTTTTTTTTAATTCTGCGTGCGTTATTGCAATCGTCATACTGAATGCTGGCTTCCTTTCCATAAAACTGACAACCTTTTCAATAGTTTTTTCAATTTCAGTCCAGGTTTCATCACAATCATGTGTTTTTTTTTATTTTCTTGTTCATTGTGAGTGTGAACGCCGAAGAATAGTTTCATTGGAAGATTTTATACCATACAATGTTGACTTTCCTTTGTTGAACTCAGCCATTAGTTACAATGAACTTTCACCAGCGTCTAGTCTGTTTAAAATTTCCACTTTTTACGATAACTAAAGTTGTTCTTTTCCCATCATCTTTTACACCAATACAAGCCATTAAGGTGAAATAAGCATAAGCAATTATCCAAAGTAATTTTCCTGAAAAACAGAAATTTCAAATCAGTTACATATCACCCAAATAGTACAAATATATACATCAAAATCATGTCCGGATATGCCGGATTCCGGATATGAGACATTCCGGAAATGAGGGATTCTACTGTATTTCGTAATTTAGAAATTTTAGCGTAAAAACTAATTTAATGCTTGTAGGAAATTCTGAGATTAAATATTTTCACAATTACAAATTTTTGACTATTTTTTAGTGAAATGACTATCGTTTCTAAATTTCTAGTTAACAGCATGTTTACGGTCATATCACATTGAAACATTGGTTCTCGGCTAATCACCGGAGTTAAGCAACGTTGAGCCTGATCAGTACTTAGATGGGTGACCACTTGAGAATACCAAGTGCTATGAACTAGAATATGCACATTTTGTAATGAATGTCTTCGAATGAAAAATCTGAGCTGAGTTCCAATTCCAGTCAGGTTCGTTATATTCACTTAGGTGCAAATTCCATTCTTCTCCTCCCCAGCTATGAATAAGACTTGTATCAGAAAATCATTATTATCTCCAAAGAAATTTCTTGCAATCCAAAAATATTTGCTGGTTATAAATAACCTGCAAGAGGTTGATAAGCTGTAAAAAACAAATCAATCAATCTGGTTAACAGCTAAAGAATTAGCAAAAAATAAATAATGGAAACAAACGAATCAGAATATATTTAAAATTATGGCTGATCGTGAAAAATATTTCAAGAAGAAAATATTGCGAATTATTTATAAAATCTTGTTTGCTTAACAGCAATGGCTTTACTCCTTGTCACATATCAAGATCGATTTTGTTCAAACAATTTCATAATTTGACATTACCCCCCAAGAGAAAAAAATATCATACGGTGATTGAACGGGTGGAGGTGATATTTGATCATGATCAAAAGATTGTTTATAATAACAACAAAGACGGTGCAACAAAGCAATACACTCTGATTACTTCTGCATGTCGTTGTTTTTTTCTGGATTTAATTTTTCAAATTGATGAAATCAACAGAGAGTTATGTGTATTTACCCGACCTTGACCACCAGGCGACTTCTAATGTTCGTTATGTGGTACCATACAAAGCAGTATAAAAAGAAAAGGTACAGGTACTCTCTCTCTCTCTCTCTCTCTCTCTCTCTTTCATCTTTTGCTCTTCATCTATAACTCTTCACTTTTGTTTATTAGACATTAAATTACGTCACTTAGCTTCCTTGATAATTTAAAATTCAGAGGACGAAACGTATCGGCTAAGATAAGTTTTCCTTTTATCATTATTCATATATATATATATATATATGTGTGTGTGTGTGTGTGTGTGTGTGTGTGTATGTGAAAATATATAGAAAATAGGAAGAGCTGAAAACTTCAAGCGAAATTTTTTTTGATTCCAAAAAAAATTTCGCTTGAAGATGGAACAGAGCTTATTTTGACTCAATTTAATTTAAATAATTATATTGAAGTTTTCGGCTCTTGTTTTGAAACATGAGACTTCTTATGTAGCGTTTTGGAATCATATTTTTAAATAAATAATTATATATATATATACTGAAAAACATAGCTCAATAGAAGAAGAGAAATATATATCTATGTGATAATCTGTTGTGTCTGTGTATGAGAGACAGAGAGAGACTGCTACACGTAGTTTGTTTGAAACTAAGAAGTCGGTTTGCTCTGAAACTAAGACTCCCATAAGGGGAAACAAGTTTTGTTACTCAGTCATTGGTAAAAAGAGAGAGTTTATGTCTTTTCCTTTTATACAACGCCACCGATGAGAACCTTGACAGAAAAGGTGGAGCAACGCCATATAAGTAAACTTAAATGTTTTCTTTTCTACAACTAGAATCCAACATGTAAAACAACATCTTTTAAAATAGTTCTAATATCCAACTAGCAAAAATAGAAAATGTTAATCGAGAGGATATTATTTTATATTTATTGTAAATGTTCAGCTGAATAACTTGCAACTACAGTTACTAGTCATCTGTAGAAATTGGCGCCCATGGTAATGCACTAAAATTGTACCCCTATTTCAACATCTGGTACCCTACTAAAGTACAAAGTAAACGTACTCGTTCAAAAGTCATGATTATTAATAATGAATTATGATACTTCAACAAGAAGATTCTTTTATATTTATTTTTTTATTTTAAAGGGATTTAAATTTTAACGATATAATAGTGTCATATGGACATATGCTTTAACGAAATTGTGACAATACTATTATCTCAAACATAAAATATTTACAAGTAAATGGCATAAAACAATAGGAAAATCCGTTTTAATTATTCTTTACATTTTAAATTCAAACAAAATAATAAAATATGATAGTGTGAAGCGAAGACGGAAATAAATAACAAGACGGCCGAACGCCAAATGACAAAAAAAAAAGGTTTCTGAATCGGAGAATTCGCGCATTTTTCCAGTTAAAATATTAATCCTTTGAAAATAAATATTTAATATTTTTCAACCAATAGGTGGCGTTCCCCCAACAATAAAAACATGCTTCGTTATCCCTTTAAAGAGTATTTAAGTAAAGTCTCTAGACGGACAAAATCAGTAAGAAGGAGCGGCAACAGATTCACGACATTACGGCTTAAAAGATAATCCTTACTCATTCACCACTCTTCCTCACCAAGCTACGTGACACGTACACTCTTCCTTACCAAGCTGCGTGACAATTACACTCTTCTTCACCAAATTACATGCCACTTACACTTTCCTCCTTACTTTCTCCCTTGCCTCTCTTTTTCACACATACACGCGAATAAATCACATTTCTTTTCATCTTAACAAGCAACTACAAACAAGGGACTTTTACACAAGAACTTTTACACTCGTACATCGTGAGAAAAAATTTAGTTGTAAAAACACGAAATGAAAATGTTTTATATTTTATATTTAAAAACCTTTTTCATCACACCTTTTCTTTGTTGTGGGTTGATACAAATCCGCAACAATAGTACCACAAGAAGACAAAATCATTTCTTAGCGTTTAAATATCAATAAAATACTCCATGACAAGACAAATATGTTTAATAATCTTTGAAAGTCTTTCATTGAGAAGTTATGAAAATACAATGGCAACACGTAAGAAATATTTATATACGTTATTGCACGAGTATTGTGAGAAGACAAAGGAACTAAATAAGGTATCGGATAGGTCTAAAGTAGAACCTTCCTTGTGTAGGGACAGTAAGACAAATTTGCGAGGGTTACTTGACGGCCGGTGAGTGACGTCAGCCCGGGATTGACAACAGCCTTGGGGTGACGAACATCAATTGTTCAGTAGACAAGACAGACCTGATAGCTCATGGCAGTAAGGAAAATGAATAGAAACTACGTGGTTCCAAAAATGAATATATAAACACCATCAAGATAACCCATTTCTTCTGGGAAATATTACAAGTAACACTCCATTTTCTCCTCTTCACACTGCTTGTTTTATCCATATATGTTATAGGTTCTTTGTGTGCGACAAATAGTGCCAGACATATGCACATCTGTGTATTGTTTCTTCCATGACATAGCTCTATATAAAATAATTTCGAGCGCAATGTATATTTGGCATTCTTTTCTTTCAGTTATTCTGGCTCTTCCTTCCGTTGTCTTAACGTGTAAGTATATCACAGATATACTGTTGCCTAATACGGGCAGTGGAGAGTGGAGATAACCTAGATAGTTATTCTGCCTTTCCAAGCACCCCATTAATTATTTTCAGTGATGCAACATTTTCAACCCCAAGCGCTCAACATCGCAGTCATCAAAAACAGTGGCCAAATGATTTAGTGCTTAATGACTAATTATAACGCTGGTAACTCTGGTTAGAGTTTTTACTGCATGAGAGCTATGACATTGTAACCTTTGTTTAATATTTCCCGGCACGAAAAGGCCGAATGATGATTTGAAACAGGAAGTAAGTTCAAACTGTGCAAAAATTCAGAGAAACTAATTAAGCGTCGAAGAGCAAAAAAGGAAAGAAAGAACGAATTAAAATTAATAATTAAAAGCCATAAAATTAGTTCGGAGAAGACTCTAGGAAGATTTGAACCAGAAATAAACAAAGTAGAATTCATTATTAAGACTAGATCTTCCCCGATTTACTCAGTTGCCCCCGGGGCAGTATGGCAATATTTATGGTCTTCTAAAAATGTCCTAGATTCCAAAGCGGAAGTCTCGCTATGTTTATTTAAAATACTTATCAAACCCTATAAACGTTTAGATTATCAAATCCAATGTTAGAGGCCCCGGGAATGAACGCATTCCACGAGAGGACATTTGATATCTAGACAAAGAAAGCTCATTAACATCTTATCGAAAACCATGTAACAAATCAATGGTGGTTTTATATTAGAAAGAATAAAATTACGAAGAACTGTTTTGGTTGAATTATGCATCATATCGTCTTTGAGAAGCGATGATGGTTATGAAGTTAACGTGTAGGAAATTCAGTCGTCCATCTTTTTTATATTAAAATTCCGAACGTCCGGATTTCAAAGACTAAAATAAAAATAAAGTAAACATGGTTTCATGCCTGTTGAATAAATCATTTGTTTTTACAAACATGTGTACATTAATTCAAAAGAGTCAAAATTATTAAAAATAATCTTTAGTTGAGTTGATTCACAGAAAATGGCTGTCGTTTAGACAAGGCATTTAAATTCTCCGTAAAAAGCTATGGTTGAGAAAATTCCCTGACCATCTTTGTCGTTGTTGGAGATTATTCGTTTGAAATCGCCGACTGGCTTGTCAGCGAATATTCACTGACCACCCAACTGTTGTTGTAACTAATTCGTTTGAAGTTGCCGACAAATGTCTCTTTCAGCACGCACTGTGGGCGAAAGAGTCTCATCTCTCTTCAGTTTGGAGACAAGCTGCATCTCTGATCCTTGAAAGTCGTAATCCGTGTTTTTTTTTCTTATAATCTTTTCCCGAAATTAGGCTCGAGAAAAATAGGTTTTTAGTTTTTTCTGATTGGCCAAATATTTCAACCAATAGACACTTTGATTTTTTATTGTCTGTTATTAGGTAGAAAATAAAGTTTGGGCGTGTTTTGATATGGTATGTATGTTGGTATGTAATTATGTTGGAAATGGGGTTTGTTTCCTATGAACTCATACTCAAAATGATTAATTATATTGTCACTGGGTTTGAGAATCGCAATTAGACGAGTAAAGAGGACTTGGAGGATCAATGTGGACTGTTTGCTTTTCCACTTTCACTCCAAGAAGCAGAAGTTCGAACATGCGAACACAGTCTGTGATTTTGAATTTTGTTACTTTCAACACAAACATTATCAAGTTTGTTTTTTTTTGCGAATAGCTCTTCCAAAGGTCACTACAAAATTACAAATTATACAGTGTTCATCTGTGAGGCCAGCTACCAGACCCTTCAGTGACGGCTCGCATGGGTCGAATGTTGATCAAACCAATTGATGACTTTACGCAAGTCATCATTATCACGCTTTATACTACCTATTTCACATCAACAATGAAAAATCTGAATTAAATTGGTGCGTACACTGGTCGCTTGATTCTAAAGCATTAAAGTCATCTTACTTATTATAAAACGCAGATTGTGTGTGTGTGTGTGTGTCTACGTTTATATATTGGATCGGATTTCCTACATTTTTCAACCGATTTCAACAAAACTTCACAGGACTACGTAAAATTACCTTGCGGTGGTTCTGACAGAGCCCAAAATTGGAAAAACAATTGTTTTTGCATGAAATCAATTTGAAAACATAATTAAGAGGCATTAATGAAAGGGGGACAACTCATATCGAGTTATACTTATTAATATCGAGTTATCGAGTTATACTTATTATAAAATCCAGGTTGGTTGTTTGTGTGTGTGTGTTCGTTTATATATGGGATCGGATTTCCTAGATTTTTCAATCGATTTCAACAAAACTTCACTTTTTTTGGCAGGTAGTGTTTCTTATTGTCTTGCACACTTTTTCTTTATTTTTTTTACATTCAGAATGCTTTAAAATTCCATTTACAAGACAATTGTTTATAATAAAATTCTATTCAATCGGTAGACTCATAACGATTGAAAACAATGTTTTTGTTTGAGTTTGGGTTTGACCAATTCGTAAAAAAAAAAATAAAAATAAAACTAATTAAGACATGCGTGTACATCAAACTTAAACAATAATCTTTGTCAATTTTATTTTTCAGTCTTTATGATGGTCGATACTTGATCTATCACTTACTGTTACATCCCCGGGCAACGCCGGGCTCTACTGCTAGTTATTAATATGGGGAATGTTTCCTTGCCCATTCGAACATTTCTTATTCAGTCAGTGCCATGCATGATACACATTTAGGCGATCATGTATCTATACATGACTGACAAGGCAGATTTTTTCCCGCAGTAGGTTGTCATTTCTTTCTCTGGCAGACCAGTTGCTATCAAAGGCTACAGAGCCCGGTCTGTCCTGCTATTTACCGATGTGGAGAGAATTAGCATTAAGTGAATGTAATGGATTTGACTAGAATTCGAACTCGGCTCTCCGATTCCTCAATCCGAATCGCCATCCATTACTCCACCGTTTCTCATTCACCATGTGATAAATACATGTCATATGCAAGAAACATGATACAGATCATTCGAGAGTAGAATCTGGTTAGATCGATGATGTCGATGTGATGGCCGTAAAAAACATCACCATCTGACGATGCCAAGAATACTGTTAGCGATAGGACAGGAAACGACAGATCGACGAAACGACAACGAGGATCATCAGCGGTGTCATTGGAAATGACATATTAAAGAACGCTACATGGTTTCAGTAAGAAAATTAAAGAAAGAAATAAATAAAGAAAGAAGGGAAGACAAGTGTTTAACGGTTATTTCAGTGAAATGGGAAAAGTTGTCAATTTCAAATCTTTTCATTAGTACCCCCTTACTTCTTAAAATAACAGCCATCATTCATATTTATTATTGTTATTCCAATATTTTGTTAAAGTTGTTAAGCTCGAATGTTTAATGATGATCTAGGGGAATTTCTATGGATACTTTATTGTCGCAGAACTCGCCATGAGCTTATTCAATCATTAACTGAAGAATTAAGATTCATCAGACAATGAAAATAGGAAAACCATGAATTTTTTACTACAGGTATTTCTTGTAATCAATGAAAGTTACACTGTGACTTATTTGTTCAGTGGCGTCGAGGCGCCATTTCCTTCAAAGTAATGTCTGCGGCATGTATCCTAGATACGCCACCGGTCATGGCTTTATTAGTTTCATTTCACAATTATCAATTGATAAATCCAATTTTTCTTCCAGAGTTATTACCCAACTCCATTCTGATAATGATCTATGGAAGGAAATATAGAAAATTTATTTTTACTTGGTAAATTATCTGCTATACTTTCCCCAGCTCTTATAAACAATTCTATTAGTAGACACAACTGAACACTACTGATCGAATACATCGGATTCCTTAAGGTATTTTTTCAACTTCTACAGATCTCTCCCTCTTCTGGTCATAAAACACATCAGATTAAGTTCATTGCGATAAAACAGGCCTCCATTTTATAATCAGTTTGTAATCTTGATATTCGTAGAGATAAGCTAAATTATATACTTTGAGATATTTCCTTATTTTCATTTCTATCTTTCGTCCTACTTCGTTATAATAACTGAAATAATTAGCGTGCTACCATAATCTATCTTTTAGATCAGCTGGCAACGTTGCATCAAGAACTTCGTAGCTTAAACATAAAAAATAGCGTTTATTTTACACAAGATATATTTCTTATGGAGAATTCGGTAATTTTGACAAGGTACGAAAATTCGATTGAAAATTGATCCTAGGGCTATTCTATAGTGGGGATTTGGGGGCTAAGACCCCTCCCCTATATTCTTGAAATAGAAATGTGGCTATATAGCTTTTTTTGTGCTTCTTTAAAAAGAAATAACTATCTAAAGCTTAATTTGTTTACAGTTTTTAACTATATTTTTATTAAAATAATAATTTGAAAAGAAGATACATGAACTTAACTTTAACTTAAATCGATTTTATTTGTTTGAAAACAACAGAGTATTATAGTAATTAAATAAATACTTAAATAAAAAATCTTTATTTATATTGGCGGTGAGTGGGTTAGCACCCCCCCCCACACACATACTATAGAAAGATAATCGCACATCTCTTTAAATTTGTAGAATTTTCTTATTTCTGCTTTCTTTTCTTTCAACTTCTTTCTTTTCTTTTTCTTCTTTTACTCCTCGTTCGTTGTCGTCGGGTGCGTGGTCGACTCTTGGTTTTTCTTTGTACTTTTTCCTTTTCTTCTTCGTCTAAGTTCAGCACTCAGCAACCAGCCGATCTCCTTCGATCATGAAAACCAAATCCCTGCAATTTAATCAGAAATCTGATACTTCTTATTTTTCCCATTAGTTAAAAGAAATCACCTGTTCAAAGACTTTATTTATTTTAGGTGCATTTTGAGACCATTGAACTTGAACCTCCTTTTTACAAATTTTTGAAAACCAAATTTTATACATATATAGCTCTTTTTTTTTATATAGACCGTCAGGTTTTAGCAGTTTTTTAATTAAAGAATACGTGTTTGACCGTGTTAGTAATTTTCTTTATTTTTTTAAACACTTCCCTCAAAGAAACTATAATAAACAAACCCAGTCTATTCTATTACTTTTTGTTTACCTTTTAATTTATATACGCGTCTGGTTCACAAACCTCGCCTGTCTTTTGAACAGGAGTAGAGGTTCATCCCTTGTTCCCTGTTTTGGACTGGGTTTCCGGTTCCTTCTAAAAAGTCTACTTCTACAATATATTCTAAACGTCTTCGCCTGAACTCTGAAATTTTATTCGCTAATTAACTCTTGACCTCTTCAAATCCAGAATTAGCTAAAACTTTATTGCTATCTTTCTTTTTCTTACGCTAATACAACTCCACACAGTAACCCTCTATATTGAGTGGCTTGTATTGGGTGAACATTATTTAAAAAAAAAAAAGAACGAAAGATAGAGAGATAGATATGAAGAGACTGAAATAGATTGGTAGATAGATATGAAGAGACTGAGATTGATAGACTTGAAGAGATAAATAGATAGATATGAAAAGACTGAGATAGATAGATAGATAGATAGATAGATAGATAGATAGATAGATAGATAGATAGAATATAGATAGACAGATGGATAGATGGATAGATAGATATGAAGAGAACGAGATAGATAGATAGATAGATAGATATGAGGAGACAGATAAATTGATAGACATGAAGAGATAAATAGATAGATATGAAGAGACAGATAGATAGATAGATAGATAGATAGATAGATAGATGGATAGATAGATATGAAGAGAACGAGATAGATAGATAGATAGATAGATGGATAGATAGATATGAAGAGAACGAGATAGATAGATAGATAGATAGATAGATAGATAGATAGATAGATAGATAGATATGAAGAGAACGAGATAGATAGATAGATAGATAGATAGATATGAAGAAACTGATAGCCTATCGCCCGGTTCATACTCCTCCCCAGTCTTTTGAAGAGGAGTAGAGGTTTTAAGCTTTGTTCCCTGTTTAGGATTGGGTTTCTGGTCTCTTCTAAAGTCTACTTCAACCTTATACTCCTAACGTCTCCTCCTGAACTCTGAAATATTATTTGCTAATTAAATCTTGATCTCTTCAAGTCTAGAATTAGTTCTCTTTCTTGTTATCTTGCCCTTTCTTACGCTAATATAACTCCATACAATAATCTTCTACCTTGACTGGCCCTTGGGCCTTGTATTGGATGAACATTAGTAAAAACAAAATTAACAAAAATTATTTTTATTATATAATTTTACATATTATTCTGTGAAAATTACATCAAGATTCATCTAGTAACGACGCGTGAGGTTATGTATTTACTCAGGCACAGCGCTACAAATAAAAAGTGTGTGTATATGGAGTAGAGGGGGGGGGGCTAAACCAGATATTCACTGTTAATAATTTCTGAGTCTGTATTTTTTATCTGAGACCCTCATAAAATGATTATCCTACGTTAAACATTTTTTTGTTTTTTAAATACATTATTTTTTTTTGTTTATTTATAAAATCTCAACCTCTTCTATGCATGAAACTTTGTAAAAGGTTTAGAAATTAATGTTTAAAAAGTAAACGGATAATGAAATCTGATGTATTTTGAAAATTAATGGTAGTAATAATTTTAGACAAATTATATGGCGCAGCTCAATAGCATTGTCTTAGATTGAGTCCTAGAAGACAAATTCTTCTGATTAGTTCTTGGTTCCAGAGAAAAAAGTTGAAGGTGTTGAAGCCCTCCCAGCTCCTACTATTGTGCTGTAAGTTATGAGGTAAGTCAGCTTTAATCTCAACTAGAATTTGACGATAGGTGTCCTAGCAATAACATGTCTCGTTGCAGCAACGACAGAAATAACACTGCTCGTTTCATTTTGACCAACAATTGCAAAAATCGTTGTATAAATTCTCCCAATACGTGTAACTTTGTTGTCCTTGTTTCTGTGACGTTGTCGAGTCCTATGTCATTTTTTGTGTAGCTCAGCAATCATGTTTTCGCTACGTCGATTTTAGAATATTCAAAATTGAGACGCTATGACTATCTACTTGAACTCGTTTTTTTTTTCTTCTGCTTTGGGGTCTGCTAATTTTCGCCTGTTACTTTTCAAATCAATTTTGCCAATTATTGTGGTAAAATGATCAGTTTGCGATGCACAATACTCATACAATATTTCATTCAACATTCGTACAATGTTTCATTTAATACGTCGACTCGTACAATATTTCTTTCAATACTCATACAATATTTCATTTAAATGCTTCAATATAATCATAAACAAATCATTCTGCTACTACTTCTCTGTCAATGTCAAATTTTGTGAAAATCTGTGCAAAAAGTGAATCACAGAGCCTTGATATTTTTATCACTTCTCATTGGTCAGTTAATATTGAAATCATTTTCTCGCCTACGTCCGTACAACGCCTACGTGTTATTCAAAACCATTTTTCCGCCCAAAATCAGAAATACTTCCCGGAGCCGATCACGTGATTACGTTGATTATAAATACCAGACACAAAGTTCTTTCTCTCTTCTCATTTTGATTTCTCTCGCTTACGAAAATGTAGCTGTCTAAGAAATCGCGTTCCGACCCCAGTTCGGACGGACGCTATGAAAACATTCACACACGCACACATACACGTATGTAAGAAACTTAATTATGATCATTACATAACATTACAAGCAACGGAAACTTAATTACAAACATTACGAACATAACAATCATCAACATGTTACGAATATTCAACTACAAGTAACAGAAACTTAATTACAAACATTACAGAACATTCACTCCGTCAACTCTTCTGAAGCTAAAAGTTTACTCAACATATTTTTAGCTTTACAGAATTCTTCCAACTCTCTCACAATGAACATTTTGAGCGGCAAGTTCATTCAACTTCCTATGAGCTCAGATAAAAATATTTCTTTAGTAAAGACTTTAATTCAAGTCAAAAAGAAGTATCTCCTATTAACTATGCTTGTATATCATTACATACATAAATATAAAATGAAGATTGTTTTTGTTATAAAAACCGTTTTGTGTTCCTTCTTATTGTTTCATATTTTGTGGTATTTTGCGTTATAAACAAGTTCATGAGCCATTTCTATATCTTAGCCATGTAATATAAAAACTGATTCATATCCAGACATCTTCGGAGCGCGACATTGGCAATTATATGCGTAACAATCATATAGAAGTGTAGTTTATATATATATTTCAATAATCTTAGATTTGCGAAAATATCCTACAAAGTACCCAAGTCATAATTAATTCCACTGAGAATGTTTGTCCTGTTTGATAGCTGTGTAGATTATGAACTATCAAATTCTTGCTACTACTCGACGGGAAAAATTGCTTGATTAAATAACATTTTATTTAATAAATTATTATAACAATTTTTTTAAAATCTGAAAGTTGTATAAAAACAATATGCTACACGACAGTAAGATAAAGCATTTTTATGCAAGATGTAAAAATTTTGCTTTCCGACCAACTCCAAGTTCTTGTGCCAGACACAAAACTTAGCTGGTAGAAACTCTCAAAAGGCGCAACTTTAAAAACAAGATGACCTCTGCGTAAAATCTTAAAGAAAAACGCATTTATTTACAATACAATTTACAATTGAAAAAAGATTATAATACAAGTTGGGGGTGGAATTGTACAAAAATGTCCATTTGTGCGCCTCTTTTAGCAGAATAACAATTTGAGGCAATAAAAAGTTTACACTGAGAAACAGGAAAAAATACAAGTCACCAAAAAATGTTGATAAGACCAACGGATTCGTATACAAAAGATATCCATTCAAATATACAAAAATAAGGGAAAACTTGGAGTAATAGGATTCCCAATATGACACAAGGCACAATCTTTTAAAAGACAGCAACCTCTATTGTAACGGCTCTGTAAAGGACCTCTCATCTCGAAGGGGATTTGACGTAGGCAAATTCTTGTAGGTTCTGGGATGTGAAATTTGTCGTACGAATATGCCTTCGATCTGTCACGTTAGATTTAAAACCTCTCACTGGACTGTCCTTTTATGTGATGTCTTGTGTAAACTGCCTTGGCTGAAGTTGACGCTCTCCCGTTTTTTTCAACTCTCTTCCCCTTCCAAACTGTTGATATCAGTCCTTTTTATTCTCAATTCGTCTCCAGCCAAAATTTTTAGGTGCTAGAGAAACCTGATTTCTAATGGCCAATATATGTAAAATCCCCTTCCATGTATTCAAAAAAAGTAGATTCACAATATCTTGCCGCTTGAGCCTAAAAGGCCATAAAAATGCACGAAATTTAACATTTCTTTACAACAAAATAAAATTTTTATAACTGTGCAAATCAGCAAAGTGAAGTATTAAAATAAAAAAAATTATATTCAAATAAAGTTGCCTCTCCTTCCACACACACACACACACACACACACACACACACACACACACACACACACACACACATTTATCCCGCCGCCATACTGGTTGCTACAAGCAACACTATCGGTCAGCGATCGTCGCCTTGATGGTAGGACCACCGAAGTATAACTTGTAGTGGCCGCAAAATCATGGCGATGTATAAGTTTTCATCTCGTAGACTATGCTGCTGGTTACAAAATATTAAGGTTGTTTAGAATGAAGAAACATGGTTACAATGGTATTGACTGGTAAGAGAACGTTTCTGTCCAAGCTGTGGGCGACGGAAGGAAAGCGTGTTTTGACTGAGGATGGCGAGTCAAACTGCACGTTGTTGGATTTCCCGCACTCGGTTTGCCAGGTTTACCAAGACGCCGTTAGGTGGCGCTGTTTAGGGAGCTATAAAAACGGGACATTTCCTGTTTCTTCCTCTTTTCCCTTCTTTCCTTTCAGCATGCGTTGGTAGCAACACCAACATGGAACTCGTCCCCAGCTTGGGGATAACTTTCTCCGAGTGACTGAACTCTTTCACACACACACACACACACACACGCGCGCGCACACACGCACACGCACACACACACACACGTGTATCACGCACACACACATACACATTCAATTCCTAACAGCTAGATTTTAATGTCTTCTTCAGCTATATTTGCATGCATAATGTATTTTCTCTTCTCTTTTAGTAAATTAATAGTTATATAAAATACCTGAAAATATCGCCTTGTTGAAATTTATTCCATGCCCTTTCATCTTTACAAGTAATAACAATCTGTCGTTTACGAGTGAAAAAAAAACTTTGTTTGCCATTGCCTTCAGTTAAGTAAAACTCAATAACGTTTATATAGAGTAGGTGGTGAATAAGATATTAAATTCTCTTTTATTATATCCGTTATGTTACTGATCGTTATTTGACAATGTCATAGAGTAGACAACACGTAAGTTGTAGCAGAATTATCAGTTGTTGAAGGGATATTATTACTGTTGTGACATGATTTACAGAAACATGTCAAAAATAAACAGACACCTCCATTTTCACCTTTCCATCTCATGAGACGCCATTGTCTTATGGTATCGAACTGACCTTTATTGTTTCGTTTCAAAATTGGTTATCTTACCTCTACTCTACAATGCCTGAGGGGAATAGAATTTTCAAATCGTTTAAGGATTCAAAAGGAGGATGCATTCAGCGTAGAATTGCAGCAAAACTATAATATTCTTCTTATTGCAGTGAATAAGGTAATCGCTCAGTTTAGAAATGACAGCAAAAAACATATATCCCCACATTCTGGGCGACCTGAACTTACATGTGTCTCGGAGCTGTTCAGCGGTCTGCGATGAGTATCCCCAGATAGAAGACTTCCACACAGAAGCGGTTATTGATGTCACGCACACACACACGCACAGAGAGAGAGAGAGAGAGAGAGAGAGAGAAAGAGAGAACCCTCGATTAATGCGCGTTCGATTAATGCGTTTTTGATGAGTGCGTTAAATTTTTATATACCAATATTCGATTAATGCATGC